CAGTCTCCACTTTCAAAGTCCAAATGCATCCTAACATCCACTCTGAACTAATTAAGAACTTTCTGCTCATTACCACCTAACAGAGTGAAACCTTCCTCTTGAGTGGTGCATGATCTTACAGATGGTGCAGTGTTTATACGCCTTCCCACAATTTTCATTCGCCTCCCCGATTCATTTTCTTAACTTTAATAAGCAACACAGTATCAGTGCCATTTCTGTACAAGTGCTGGTAGCAGAAAGTGAAAAATCATTTAGAAATAAACACACATTAAGATTAAATGATCACTTAACTCTGGGATGCAACTGAAATTGCTAATATAAAAATAATAATTAGAAATTCTACTCTAACAAAGTGTTCATAAGAAGGCAGTAACTGACAATTTCAAAAGCCTAAACATCTAATGTATGAAATTCAATACATTATTTTAAGCACTAGACAATTGGAAAGATGTGAAAACAAGTCCAACTCAAATCCAGCCTTATCCAAAAATGAATGCAATGTATAGACACAGGTGCCTTGTTTGCTGACCACGTGACATTAAGGATTTTCTACCACTGCAAGTCTGGACATGAAGAATTCCTTTCCCAAACAATACCACAGGGGTTTACTTACCCATCTCTCTCTCTTCCCCTCCTCACTTTCTCTCTGCCTCACTTTTCACAATTCTGTAAGACAGCTTCCTTTTCCTTTCATCAACCCCGAGCCCCAAGTCCAAATGATGGAAATGGGAGGGACAGGCACCAACCCAAAGGCAAAGTAGCAACAAAAAGCATTTTTCTTTTTCAGACAATCAGGTGTCTAGATATTCACACCTGCTTTCATCAAAACATTCAACCATTTTTGCAGGAAGAATGACAAGCTAGCACTGCACAGAGAATTTCACTGCCACAAGATAACACAAGTGTTCAAGACACAGCACATAGCACAGGGCAGGGAACTATAGAGAAGAGCTGGCTTTCCACACTATGAAAACATGACCTTTACAGTTGACTAGATCTTGTCCGGTGGTTTACACAGTGAATAAGCCCATTAAAGCAGAATTGTATTACCTTTGTTTTTTGCTAGTGGAGATGGGGGCTGTTCTGTAAACACATCAGGGGAAGGGGATTCTGGGTGGTCAAAGTCTTTTTCCATAGTTTCTATGAGCCCAGTGAGATCTGAATCCTCGGAGCTGTGCCTTCTGCTGCTGGCACATTCACTGTGAGGTGGGCTGAGCAGCGGGAGCTGTGGCAAAGCACTTTCAGTCTGTTGCTCTTGCTGCTGGGGCACGGCTGCTGGGGGTTGCTGGAGGGGCTGCTCTGCCAAAGCTGGTGCCTGCTGCTGTATCAGCTGCTGGTTCTGCCTCGTCCCCTTGGCTCTTTTGCCTGCGGCATGAGTCTGAGCTGTGGCACCTGAATCCAAGCTAAAGGAGCCCGTTCTGTTCACTGACTGCATGGAAGCGGCTTGTGCTGAAGTCCTGTTAGGTATACTTGAATTGGTTTTGGATTTGATGTTTTCAACATCAGGTGCATTTCTATTGCTGTGAAGGTGTGCTGTTGCATTGCATTGCTTATGATTCCCTGCACCGGATCGTGAAGATGAACTGCCTGCTCCATAAATTCCTCTGGATGAACTGTGATTAGAATCCGATCCAAGTGTATTCAAGCTGGAAGAATAACACATGTTTAAGCATACTCTACAATGTTTCCATTCTTCACTATGAAAAGAGAATTACTATATTCAAAAGAAGCCTTGAACTATACTATTCTTGGCATACAACCAGCAAAAATGCCTAAAACTTGTTTGGCAAGTCAGCAGACTTCATCATTTCCTGTACTCATGCACTGTACATAGGAACAAAAAACATAGTAAAAGGACTGTTGATATATATGATGGAGGCAACACTGAAAGGAGATGAGCTTTAGTTAACTTTAGACACCTAAGGTAGGCCTGCAATTTTTTTAGAGTCTCTACTTTTTGAGAATATTAAGAGGAAACTTGGCAGGGTTTGGTTTTTGGTAGATTTCTTTCTTTTTCCCTTTTTTTTTTTTCCCAGAAGAAGAATATTCCTCACAATCCCAAAATTCATCTTTTCATCCAAACTACCTTTTTATAAGCAACTGTGAGGATATCTTTAATCATTGACCTGTTCTAGTGAGCAGTACTGTTTTTTTACTGGCCTGATAACTAAAGAAGAAATAAATGAGAAAAGTACTACAAGAACATTTACTTACTTTCCGTCAGATGAAATTCCAACTATTCTCCTGAGATCAAGTGGCCTTCCCATATCAAAGGGAGGATTTGAGGCCTCAAAGGACAAGCGTCTTCTAAATGGCTCCCAAATTCCTTGAGCTTCTAGATAGGCTGTTCCAATTACCAAGAGAAAGAGTACACTGCAGAGAAGAAAGGCATTCATCTAAGAATTTATTAGTTTTGAGCATTCTAAAGCTAATGACTCTAATGATACAGGACAAAAAGCTAGTATCTTGTACTGAAAATACTTAAAATTGCATCCAAACATAACATATACAAGACTGGCATGATATGCAGTTGCCAGGTGTATTAATCCAAAAGAAAAAATGTTGGACTTCAAGAAGCTGGAGCCACAAGCAGGTGATTATTCAAACCTGCGATTTAGGGATTTAGGGAAGGCAAAAATAAATACCATTGTATCAAATTTAAAAACATGGACTATACAAACTTCTGGTGTTCTTCCCTAGAAATTATGGCTAGCTTTGCAATGATATGGAAGAGTTATTTTAGTGGCAACTAGCAAACCCATGCATGATGGCGTCCTAAAAGTTAGAGGCAGTTTATAAACAGAAATCTTGGAATATTATGACATGTATTAGGATTCTTCTCTAGTTTGCTGCTAAGAAGGATGTTTATACTTTTAAGAAAAAGACACAGTAAGGGAAGGGATTAGTATTCTCTATTCTTTGTAAAGTCTAATTAACAATACAGTACATATAAAATTTCCCAAACTACATTTATGAGCTGACAACCATTACTTACTTTGTCAAAGAACTAAAAACAAACTCAGCCTATACACTTCTAGCAAATATATAGAAGAAATTTACCTAAGTACTCACTCAGCACTCTAAGTAATGCATTGTCAGTGACAACACAAAATTTCTTAAGTAAGAGAAATTTTCCTCTTACTTTGGAAAATGGAGTTTTCTCACTAAACACTGCATTGCTTAGGAAAATACTGAAGAGTCAAAAAAGAAAATTAAGTGGGCTGTAACTTAATCATCTCTATTTCTTTTGTTAATTCCTACAAGAAAAAACAGCCTAAGTGAACTTTTGTAAAACAGAAGAACCAATAACTTACTGCGAGGGAAAAAAAGGTAATATGACAAGTACAATAATGCCTTGGATTTGCAGCACACATAAGGACCTCTTTTTCTTCAGAGACATCTACAGCACCAATAATTTCACACAAAGATATAAGCTTAACACTAATGAAAAGAAAACTAGCATTTACTGCTACTGATAAGTAAAAACTCATACTGGTAAGTTTCCATGCTAGGGTTTTCCCTGCACGAAAGACTCACAAAAGAGTCTCACATCCAAGAGGTGAGCAGGGCAATAGGGTTTATAACTTCTGATTGCAAATAAATAAAGACAGGTAGAGGTTAGACTATGAAAACAGTGGCATTTTCAACCCATAATTCAGCCAGATATAATTAACAGATATCTGTTTGCTGAAGAAAAAAGTGCATTAATACCCTACTACGTAACCTGTGTGTATGCAGTGTTGCAAACAATGTCCTTCAGGTTCTCAGAAATCCCATTATTAGTATCAGCAGTTGWCTGTCACATAACAAGTGGCAGCAAAGTTAAATTCATCCAAGGCATCTGCTAAGCTCATTACTGTCACTGCCTCATATCTCTCTAAAGCACAATACTCCAGAAGGATACTTACATTTCTACAGGAATTCACTACCAGCAGTACTTTAATACGTAATATGTTTAAAATTTGGCTTATCTATCATAAACCCCTACAGATCACCAGGGCTAGCAGGAGTATGTATCTCACTTAAGGAAATAGGTTCAAGCAAGAAGTGTATTATTTTGTCCTTGGTTTGAGCAGAAAGTCAGTACTTCTCAGCCTTAAACACTACATGCTCAATATACAGGAGTGTTTATTAATTCAGTCCCCTTTATGATCTCACACTATTTATTTTACAACAATTACAGCATGTGCTGAATACACGTGCTGCTCTGTAACCCGTATTTGAGCAGTGGTAGTTCATGCCCATACAGCAGTAAGAACAAACACACACACACACCCCACACACACACTACCTCATTATTCCTGAGATGATTATGTACAGTGCCAGTTCCCAGTTGGGCCTGGGGAGCGCTTCTGCACACGTTGCCAACATGTGATATGGAAGCGATGCGTTCAAGATAAATACAAATTCAGAGCCTCCCGCAGTGATGAATTTTAATTCACGTATAACTCTGGAAGCAGTGAAATCTGGTGTAAACCTGGAAACAGCGTAAAGCACATTAGAACTTTTCATATGAACAGCACAAATGTTTGAGGTGATTTTTATAACTCATAAATTACAAATAAAAAAAAGCCACAACTCAACTCCATCAATTACAATACAACCTAAAAGCACTTGTGAATCTTTYAAATACCTCAAGATGTGTTTGACTACATTCATTAACACCTATGCTTAACACATCTGATACTAGATTTCTCCAGGTAATATATGAGGTTATAACYGAGAATAAGTTTTTACCACATCTGTTAATAAATGCTATGAATGCAGTAAAAATTTCACAGCAGGTCTAATTACTAGGTAAGCTATAAWTTTTTTAAACACTCCACCTTTAAGTCACAAATGTGGCTTTTCAAAAGCATCACCACTTCATCACAACCTCATCACAAGCTAAGATTGTACAGAAGTACTAGTGAAATACTATTTCACTGCAGCAATATTTCATACATCCATCCATTTGCAGAAAGAAGCAACTTTTGAATTTTTTAGATACCATTTTCTGAATAGCTAACTTTACAACAATGCACTGTTAAAACACCAGTGTTTGATGCAGAGATTTTTTTATAATAAAAACTGACAGAATGACACAGTCATTATCATTAAGACAACAGGCAAAATATTCAAGACAAAAATACTGTGCATTACAATAACAATGCTTAGACCAAAGGCTCTATTCTACATACTGCAATGCACCAAAACCATTTGTAGGTCTAGATCCCATGAGCATTCACAAGTCAAATGAGGGCAATTTATAAAATCCCATATAGTAACATTATTCCAACTCAGCAAGTTATACTCACTGGATAGTAACAGATGTAATACTATAGTCAGTCACAAGAACACAGTGTCATGAAAACTCAAATAATGTTTGCAAAAAGAGAGAAAAATGTCATAATTATGTAACACTGTATAATACGCACTGTATAATACATGCAACACTTCAGTAAAAAGCCCTCAGAATTTAACCAAGAGAGTTTTCCCCTGAAACAGTATTAAAATTCCAAATGTAAGACCCCATTTAGATGTAAGAAAAACCACTTACAATATGACAATGTCTTTAGAGGCATTGGCACTTAGTGCAAATTCTTGACAGTTAACTACTTTGAATCCATATCCTTCACATGTGTAGCCACTGATTTCCATTGTTTTCACATTAATCTGCAGCTGCCCTGTATTTTCCACTTTAAATGTTCTTCTCAGTGTGAAATTCGGTTCTTTGTATTTCATTTCTAGAAACAAACAGCAGTGGTGAGTGGTATGCTGAGCAGATACCCTTCGCTGTATTAATATTCTACAGCAGAAGAGAGTTCTGTCAGTGTTACAGCATAAGGGGAACTAGCAAGACCCATGGAAATTACCTTTAGGCAACTTGTAGGAACATATCTCTACAGCCAGATTCTCATCACTGTCAAGGTAGGGCACTCGTACAATTCCAGAGCCCTCTAACTCATTAGGGAAACAATACAAACCTCCTAACCTCTGACAGCACAACTGCCTCACAAAGAAATCACCTAAGCTGCAAAGTTCTTTGACATACTGCATGTCTTATATATACTGCATGTCTTATATATACTTCACAGCATATCACTGATGCTGTGATATTCTCTGAACAGTTCCAGCAAGAGAAGAATTAAAATGCTGGGGTTTTTTTTTGTCTTAAAAATAAAACTGCGTGGCTTAACTACATATATCTTATTAGAAAAAAAAAAAAAAAAAATTCCCTAACCACAACAGGTAAAAGGCAAAGACTAAGCTTCACTTCAAGGTTTCTTACTCCTCAAAAAAAGCAGAATAGTCTCGGATAATAATTAACATGGCACCTGAGAAATGTCTGGAAAGCTGCTAAGTAGCAAAGCAGATTTTAATATCAGATAAAACTAAAAACCTTTTACCAGTTCCTTTAGTAATATAGGAACTCTTAGCTCTTCTCTCAGAAGCAAGCCTGGGGCCACAGAGCAGAAAACCTCTGCTCTCTGGCTGGGATTTAATTTTCATTAAGTAATATAGCCATTGGAGAAGAAAGACTGGGGTATGTGTTTAAAGATTATGAAGGTGTGAGGAACAGAAGCATACAGAAAGTTGTATCCATGATCCAATCKGTATTAAATTTAGGAATTAACAGATTTTGCTAGTAAATATGCCAGGGTCTTTACCTCCTCTCTCTTGAATTAGTGGACAAAGAGCTTCTGTTTTATCTTTCCTAGTTTTCATGTTAAAATGAAAAACATAATGTATTTTGTACTCTGACTACATAATGTAGCAATTTTAATGTATTTAAAGGAATTTAATTTCTGGGGCACTAGAAGCAGGGAAAAATATTTCCACATATTTCAAGTTTCACACATAAAACATGATTTCTTTTCTGTTCAGCATATTGGCTCAAGAAGTACTCACTTTCTGAACAGTCTTTTAATAATGCTTCTGTGATTTTAAAGCGTAAAGAACTTCCTGGACCAGGAGGTTTGCCTGCAACCTTCAAGCTCTCAGTTGTTCCTTGTCCTTGTACCATTATGGCATCTACTACAGTCAAGTTATTTCTGTGTAAAAAAAAAATAAAGCAGGGGGGAAGATTACATTACAGGGGGGTTGGACAAATGACTTTTACAAACCCCTTCCAAACCAAACCCTTCAGTGATTTTGTGGTAACAGAGGATTATGTATTTCTATTATTGAATATGTACTAAATACAGTCAAAATACTGTAAAACATGTCACAATTACATTTAAATGAAATCTTTCTGCAGACAGACAGGATATTATGATTTTCCTTGTAAAAGCAATAGTTTCTTGACAGCTGATCACAAATATGATTTTACAGATAAATAGAGAAAAACACAGAAAAACCTCACACTTATTTCAGAAACATCTATCTTACCTGATAACAATCAGTGATGAAACAGTTTTATTAAGAAGTGGAGTGAACTTTACTTTGACAGACTTTCTCTCACCAGGTTTTAATGTTAGACTTAAAATGGAATGGCGAGCCAAGCCCTTTGTAAGTCCCACAGTGCTATGTAGTGGTTGGACCTTAAGAAGATGGGGAAAACAAAGCAACACTTTAAAAAACAGGACATTTTTACATGCACTTGATAGAAATGGTACCATTTTAGCTAGAAAATTGGTCTTGTCATAAAAAAGGATACGAYTCATTGACATAATCCATTTTTTTAACCAGAAATTTTGATAGCACAAGAATTTYCCTACTGATTAGTAAACTGCTTATGTTTCTGGAGAAGCAGAACAACACAATAAAATAGAACTGAGCTAAACTTCAGCCATGTAGATTCATGAAGTTCCAGCAGAAGAAAGAGATCTGAAGTTCTTACACATATATTTTGAACACCAAATTAGTAAGAAGCCATTATAGAGTACTTTTTTCTCCTCAGAATTTTCCGCTGTTAAGAAAGCAAAATAGAAGAACTACTCAAAAAAGGGTATTTTGCTAAGCTTGCCATTTGTCTTCAGACACTGAACAAGCATCAAATGTTAATCTAAACCAAAATGCAAATGGAGGGGAAAAGTCAGATGAAAAAAGAAGTGCTTAGGATGTAGCATGCTCTWTATGAAAAAGCACACACCTAAAAGTAGTCCACAAAACTCAAATCACTTAAAAGAACCAACAAAGCAATGGAAAAAGCAATACTTTACTAATTTTAGTACTAATAACCACTATGCTGAAGAAAATAATCCTGTCAGTAAGGGAATGAGCAAATGTAGTTTTCCTGTAACTTCCACAGTTGTGTCATAATGTAAGCAAGTAGAAAAAGTGGTATTTCATTAGTTTCATTTGAAAAAAATATTTCTTTTCCCAATTTCCTGGTATCCATAAGAGGCATCACATTTTTCAGACTAATATCTAAACTTAAAGACATGTATGGCTGAACTCTTATTAAAACATTAAAATATCTGAATTTAAAATTACCAARATTGTATTGAAATACTTACACAATTTCTGAAGACCTGGAACTCTAGAGTCCTCTGATTGAAATTAGTTGGTTTACTCAAATTAAACCTGAAATGAAATTGCAGGTTTTTTTTCTTTCTCATAGATCASGGAAGGTAACGGTATCAATTACTTGCATTAATGGATTTTAGCACAAATCAAATATCTAAGGTAGAGCTCAACATGCAGCTGGAAGCATCACTTGATTTTTTTTTTTAATTTACTCTCCTTGTACATCAAGTTAAAGAAGAAATGTAAACACATTTTAGCTCAGTAAAAAATAAAGATGTGCATTCAGTGGCAATAGATTCAGTTCTCAACTGGCCTAATGATTCAAATTCTAGAAGTGGCCAACACAGCTACCATATCATGTATTTATTCCTTGTAAAATGCATTTTTTTGGCCAAGTGGTAACACCCCAAGGATTCCCCAGYACTTACCGTTCTAACAGCTTATCAACAAAAGTGGATGGGTTGGAATACAGAGCTACTGGAAGAAACTGAATATACACAGGAACATCAGCTGGATTTTCTAGAAAAATTTCTTCTTCCTATTCAGAAAGAGAATTTTTTAAAAGTTTACATTACCATTAGTCCAATTAGAAACATCTGTTAAAATGATACTATCACTAAAATAACTTACTGATGAGCTATTTGTGTTGGTAAGAGGAAAGTTTAGATGGCGTGGTGAACTAAGGATGGAAGGCCAGGCCATTTCTGCTGTAATTTTCAACCGGACATCCTTCTGAAGATCTGTGTCTACTTCAAATACAGCATTCAATCTGGAGAAACAGTTATACTTTAACATTCACTTTTCCATTTTGCAGAAACTAATTTTGAGAATATAAYTGATATTCAAATCAGTAAGAAAAATAACCCAAAATGGATTTGATGATTTGCAAAGGCACAAACAGCAAAAAGGAAAAATTCCAATACAGCATCCACAATCCAGAAAATGTATTTTGCCTGCACATGTGTAATGTACCGTAAATCAGTACATCTACTCTAAATGCAATGGATATGCAGACCATGTGCCTGCAATCCTGTCTAAAAAACCTAAAGCAAATCTGAACTAGTCACACTCGGTGCCAGCCACTATTTCCATCAGTGAATGAAGCTCTCTGCTATTAACCAGCCTCCATAACAGACAYGGTCCCATTCTCCAACAATCTCCAGTATGAACTGAAACAAAACTAACAGCACTGAGCTCTCCAATCAGCAAAACAGATGACATWCTAGATTTCAAGAGAAGTATTTTGGAGAGACTGCAAATGTCAAAACCCTTCTGTATTCAGAAGYCATCGTCTCTCCTTTCCCTGAATGATCTTTTGGATGGCTGGGTAATTTTAACTCTCTTTAAAAGTATTAAATACTCTAGAATATATTATAATAAAACATATTAAAGYATATATTCAAGCCAGAACTACTACTTATTCAGAGCTAATCTTTAGTAGAATTCTCCTTTACTGCTCTCTTACTGTAGGGGATAGGACATTCTTGAAAGTTACTGGTGTGGCTAAATGGAGGATTCTGTTTAGATCAGATTTTCTCAGGAGTTATTACTATATCAGCATTATAACACAGAAGTGATCAAGGGGGAATGCTTTCATTATTCTGTTCAGTTGCATACAGACATTTTGTTTCTTCACATACCTTTTTTGAAAGGGTAGTCTGGATGCTATCAACACAAGAGACAAACCCACTTGTTTATGTTAACTTGTGTCTCTTGGAGATTAAATCAACTTTATGTATGTGAGGGCAGATGTTTAAAAGGTATGTAGCAGTCTACAGAGTTTGACTTTTTCTAAATATTAAGTAGCAACCATTAATCTCAAGGTAAAAGACAAGAAAACTTTGCAATTCACTCAAATGCRATAGTCTTGGTCCACTGACAACAGAAAACCTTACGAAATCTTTAGAGGCATATTGAGGATACCATTTTAAAACACTTTAAGCAGGGATACTAAACAAACAGTATAATCTGGTTTGGGAAATTTTTGTASAGTACAGGTGGGATTGCTGTTATAATCTTTTCAAGAACTCCAGCAACTCCAGTGAATAGTAACTTCAAGCGTTTTATTTAGTTTGAGGAAATGATAATTGTTTTTTAACCCTTTAAAATGCTCTCTTTAAGGGTTTTGCAGAGAAGGCCACGCAATTCCTTCTTGCCCCCCTCTCYAAGAGTTCAGAAATATTAACAAGCTTTATATTCTGTAGGTGCATACATATCACAGAACTATTACTGATTTAAGGCCTGARAACACAATATGATTAAAACAATTACCTATGGCTTGAGTTCTCCTTTATTTCTGTCCATTCTTTAAATAAACTCTCATGCAAATCCCAGTCAGAATCCCATGCATCTTCTTGCATTGCTACACTGTGCTGAACTTTAGATTCCGCTGTAAGAAATAATGTGGTTTTTTAAATCTTCATGTAAAATCATTACTTAAGGAGAAAACTGATTTTAAATTATTTTCATTATGAAGTTGAACATTACTTACATTTAGATAGAAAAGGCAGTCCTACATAACAGTGATCTCCRCATTGTAAACCAGGATCAAAATAAATATTTGCAATCTGCAAAACAGGTAAGACCAGCTCAGTTAAACAAGCACAGTGAAGCTCATGACCAAAGAAAAAAGAAAGAAGATTTCTGTTGAATACTGAAACTTAACATATACTATATAGAAGAGARAACTTATAAATATTTAGAAAAATGCATAAACATACCTTTGATTTTTTTCCTGGCTCTAAATCTTCTTTATTACTTCTAAGCCTCTTATAATAAAACCTTATATCTTCTGACAGGGACCGTATGTGTTGTATTTTCACTTTCTGAGAAAAGGAGTTCATAATGTTCAGGCTCTGGTGAACTACTTTCCCCTAAAGAAAATAAAAGGAAAAACGTCTGCAGGATATGCATTTTTCCCTAGCATATGTGTCTATGCAGGCTGGCAAAGACCACAGCTCTGCTGAAATGTTAAACTGAGACTTTAAAGTATGCTATCTTACAGAAATGCCACTTGTAACACTTCCAGGTAGTAAGTTTCTCCATCTGCTTCCAAGCACAGTTCAAGCTTCTTTGAAAATGAAGAACACCTGAAGTATCTTGGAARAGCTAGTGCAACAGCCCTCCTTAATCAAATAATCATCAAAAAGTACCAAAAGAGGAAAGTCAAGAGAAAATTTTAGTTTTCTGAGCCTCTTATGACCAAAGGGAAACTATCTTTTTGTAAGAGATCAYTGCTAGCAATAAGAAATAGTAATTATTAGTTATTAATTAGAAATAATCTGAAAAGAACAGTAAGGGGAAGCTATGATTACAAACACTGCAGGTGATGGAGGGCATTTAAACCCCTCCTTCCTGCTTCTAAATGCAATTAAAACATCAAGACACCCAAACTGCTTTTAGGAAGAAAACAGAAAGACTTTTCCCCACACCTTTACACCCTGCCTCCTTTTCTGAGTCAAACATTATTTTAATGTTTATATTTTCATGATCAAAATCCTTACAATGCTCAAGTTTTACCCCCACCTTCAGCTGTAAATCAACAATTCTGTTTTACACCCTACCTCAACACCCAACCCTGACRTGTATAGACAAACAATTAAGAAAAAGAATAACAGGCAATAGAAAAGTGCAACTTAGGGAAAAGAAAACCCATATGAACAAATATAGATAGCCAAGACTATCTTTTAATGATCATGTTTCTCACATTCCTGCTAAATCAATACTTAAGCCTTTTTAAAAAATTCTCTAAGTTTAAGTGGAGACATGGGAGAGGTCTTTTGCAGGTTCAAAATGTGACTGTGCCTCAGGAAAGAGTCACATATTGCAACAATCTCAAMAGCAGTAATTGCAGAGGGAAAGAAACTACAAGAATAAAGCCTTAACCATACAGTCCTGTTAAACTGAACAGGAGGTATGTCTGAGCTGCATCTGTGGATTCCTATGAGTACCAAACTCATCAGCTGGACAATATACAGGTTTGTTAAAGTCTCTAGAACAAATAAATAGGATTTAACTAAGACTTTTGCATAGCACTTCGACAGGAAAYGACAAGGGACAAAATTTTCTTCATCAGTAATGAGAAAGCAGAACACCATTTAGCATATGGGTTCTCAATGTTGAGCTTTGATCAGGGAAGAGTTGAGAGGCAGCACTGGGAATTAAAGATGACACTAAGGAGCAGAAGTCAATGCAGCGAAGATTTGTTTAAATCAAAACACTGACCTTTAAAAGGCATGTATGCGCTGTCAGTGTATTGCTGACAAACTTCAACAGAATACCAGAAATCACACTTAGGTGCAAACACACTAAAATTCTAAACAGACAGACAGCTCTGGGAACCAGGCAGCTGCAGGAGAATTACATCTTAAATACGAACTGAAAAGCATGTGTTACTAAAATAGTAGCACCTAGTTATTCCTGGTATAGCTGTCAAGTTTCTCTACCAAACATTGACACAAAAAGAACTGATACTATTTTAGGCTTATTTTCGTAAGTAATAGAGGCATTACAGAATAACTAAATGCAAGAGTAACATGAATTCCATGAGTACAAGTTTAGTTTGAAATGAATCCAAGAAAAACCAAAAGCAAGCTTRCTGTTAATGTTCTCAAATAAAGAAAGACCTAAGTGATAAACTAATGAAAATAGTAAGTGAAGCTGACTGCTCTGAAAACTTTAGGGCTTGAACACAGTAAATAGTCCATAATCTTGTCAAAGGTGACAATTAATCTATAATCCCAAACAAAATGCAGGAGKCCAAAGTTCCCCTGAATGAATAATTGACTGGAAACATAACTAGAAAAACCATGAAGACAATAAAAATCACAGCAATTTGGGGAAGCCAAAGAATAATGACAGCAAGGAAGCTATGCTTGAGAAAAACTGTTAGAAATAGTATCTCCCAAAACAAAATAAAGCAAATAAAAACAAACAAAAAACTCCAAAACRAAACAAAAATCCACAATCAACAAACTAACAAAATATTCCCCGAAAAATATCAAGCTGACCAAATAAGTTGTGGGCTTATTACTATGAAATACTGAGAAATTCTTTAGTCATTTCAGCTAGAACAAACGCAAAGGATATTAAAAAATATTACTTCTTTATGGTCCAACATGGAAGAAAATATTTTAATGTGGTACTCAAAAGGGACATTCTTGACAGGAATTCCTCTGCATAGTAATAGTAATTTCTAATAATTCTAGTTGATCAAGATATAGAATATAGAAATTGCTTTATCTTGAGTGAAAGAAAGCGAAGCGGACCATTAAGCAGTTCATAGACGTAGTTCTAGATATGGCACTCAGTGTAATAAATATCCATATTATGGTGAGGCTGTACAGTAAATTAAAAAATAGATCTTAAAGATAGAAACAACTAATGATCTTYGCAATTGTAGGTATGACTGCTTGACCTCAAGAGTAGCAAAAGACTTTCTGTGACATAGAAGATCAGAAGGAAGACTGAATATGTTGCAATTGCAGCAAATATTCACTGAAGTCCCGCTGACTGACCTATCTTCCGCTGATGAGACCTATTCCATTACATCAACATTCCAAGATCTCATTTAAGTGGGCTGTAGAGGAGATGTAGGGACAACTCATGCTTGGAACACGTGCTAGGAGGGAAAGAAATCCCCAACCACCCCCAAAATAAWGACAAATTGATCATAACAGTTCAGTAGCACAACCTCTACAGCAATTTGASATATAACAATTCAGGACAGTGGTCTCCCTTGAAAAGAGCATATTAAAAAAAACACAGCAAGTAAACATTTAATCCCCCCAACTCTCTTACCGGAAAGGAAGGTGGAAGAAAAACATGTTTTGGGGAGCAGGTCAGTGAGCCTACAGCAATCACAGCCTTCACAGGTATAGTTAAAATCTGTACCAAAAAAACCCAAGAAAAATTTAGAAAAAAACCTTAAATTTCAGCCTTTAAGTGTTCCATCCACTTTTACATTGCATAGAATAACAAAACCCTGAAATTCTACAATTAATGTAGTCTAGGACTATATGCACATTTAAAACATGTAGACATGAATTAAGATTTCAACAYATCATGGTATTCTGAACAGTCACTTCATACTGTCAGGAAGCACACCTTTACTCAGCCATCCTTGGTTCTACTCTACATGGAACAGAAAAGCATACTGAAAACATAAGCTCCCCAAAGGGGTATTACATAGGTCTCACTTGAATATGGCTTACTTKGTTGGAAAACAGGAGGGTAATATCTTTAAAGTAAATGAGAGAAGATGATACACCCAACTTCTCAAAAAACTAAGATGTCATTGTAATACCTCAAAACACATATAGAAAAAGCAGAGTGGATGGGATGGCAATGAGATTCAAACAGTGTAACACGTAACAAGAAAATRAGAACATTTCAGAATCTGTAACTGAAAAATTACAGATTAAAAAWTTTTTTAAAAGCTTAAAATCTCAAATAACTAATAGAAATTGGGAATTTTCTGTAGAACCATCAAAACCACTCAATAAATGCTATAATTTTGTGACTTCCTAAGCACAGAGTCACATTTCTTTTTTTTTTTTTCCATATATCACACTAAGATTGCAATATTCATTAGACTCTGTCTCCTGCAAAAACAAGGCATATGCAGTTGAGGCAACTGGTTGTTCCCTCCATAATAATCAGTGTAAGGATTCTGTTTCATCAACTGCCATCAACTGTGGTGAACTGCAATATGSTTTAGTGGGCATGGTGGTRCCCACTCTTTTCCAACTTCAATGATTCTATGACTCGCCAAAACAGCTTTCACATTGTGTTTTGACAAGAAAAGTCTGATAATATAGCTCAATTTCAGTAACTGATAATTAACCACRAAGCACACTGTCAGTACACCCCAAGATCCAGCACTGATGCCTTGAGGATGTGCCACCTCATTGAAGAACCCAAACTGCAAAGCATTAGGTCAGATTTAAATAGACATTTCTGAAAGCTGGATGAAAATCATGATAAAAGCGTAAGTAGCATTACTATTGTATGATGCAAGGTTAACATGCAAAGATAACCTGACCTCCAGAGTTCCCTTCCAACCCCAACTTCTCCATCATACTACAGTCTGTCCACTAATACAACACTTAAAGACTGAGCATAACTTTTGGGCAATACCCATTTATTTTACGATAAATATACCTCATAATCCGTCGTGATTTGTACAGCTCCATCATGAATTCCTTCAAGATCCTTCGCTATTAGATTTACTCTGAACACTGCATAATAGCCTGATGCTAGGATCACCTRTAAATGGTAGAAAAAGTCACCACTGTATTCCTTTACACAAAAAGAAATTTCACTAAAAACRGACTCAAAATCCATTTAAAACCACTGACAGTGAAAAACAAAGAGTTCACATACATAAGTGATTAACACAGTGTATTCCTTATGGTGATAAATTTCCACTCATCCCAGACTAATAATAAGCATCATCTGAGGGTTACATTTTGAAAGGGTAAATTTCAGAAACAGCAATTTGAATTTGAATACAATGCTGCTCTTTAATATTAGGAAGTTTACATTCTTTATCATACTCAAATTCAGACAAAAATTAAGAATTCTTATCTCTCCTCTCCYAAAATGAAACTGAAAGAAGTTGCAGAGGTTTCTCCCTCCTAAATCTAGCTTTAAGCAATGGATTCAAAGGATTACTTACAGAAGATTGATCAGATGCAGTAGCATTTTGTAGTTCATGSTGATTTGCTATTATTGTTGTTCTGTTTCCCTTTTCAGCTGTTAGAAGTTCTACAGCCAAACCATCCCCTATAATATGCCAACYTTTTATAGCCAGCTTAAAAAGAACAAAAGGTACTGTTTTCAGTAACAACGYTGATGTAAATTTTTTAAAAGATAAACTAAAAATAAATGCATCCTTACCTCTATTGGATTGCTGTTGATKACTGCAAATAAAATGCTGGTAGCTTCTGTTGCACTCAATATGCCGAAATCTATAAATCGTTCCTCAGCTTTTGGAGACAGTAMAAAGTACTAGAAAGATAGATAAAAGTGTTTTAGCATAAGTGAAATATAACGTGTGCTCAAACTCTAAACTCATTAGAAAATGCATTAATAACTTTAATATAACATTACCATGACAATCTCAAAATTCCASATGATTATATTTCCTATGTAAAACTAAAGCTTTTGGAGGGAACAAAAAATAATTTTTCAGCAGACACCAAAACAGAATAAAGAATTAAAGAGTCTGATGAAGTCTGCCTCTAATTAGACAGAAAAAAAAAGGAAAATACTTACATCTAGAAATCCTGTGTAAGCTCGGACAGGTAGGTGAAATTTAGAAGCATTGGTGATAAGTAGAATATTGTTATCTATATGAACAGCTGATGTGGAAGGCATAAAATGAAGTGTAAAAATATATCTGGATTCATTAGGTGGAATTAAGACTGGTTTGCTGAAGTTCTGGACCTAGATCAGTGAACAACGAAGACCAAGGTTACAAATAAACAAAGTCCAACACATTTAAGCATTTATTAATAGGTAAAAGCATTTACTGGAATGGGACTTACTTTAAACATTGGTTTTGCTTCTTCTGGTAACACAACATCATGTATAAGGACTGCAAAACTGAAGGTGTTTGTTAGATAGATCAGTCTTTCCACGGAATCAGCAGCACTGTCACGGATGTGAAAGAGTGTGGCAGCATGATCAAATCCTAAATATCTATTGAAAGAAAACAGTGTAAGGAAATAGAGATTTTCCTCAAAGTGTTTTCCTTACACAAAGACTGGAATTCATGATTTCAAACAGCAAAAAAAGTACATACCCCCCTGCATGCTAAAACGACATTATTAGCACTATATGGATGTTAATAACTAAGTAATTCAAATAAGATGAGAAAACAYGTAAATCAGAATAATAGGAGGACTAAAAGAAAGTGTTGTAGTATTAAAGATAATTTGCAAATCATGCATAYATCTTATTAACTAATCATGTGTCTGCAGCATAAAAGTTCTGATAGGTAAGRTTTAGTTTGTTTGCCTTTAAAATACTCTGCCAGTGATAAAGTAGCAYCTCATTCAAAATTTTTTTTAAGTCAACTTAGCCATACTTTGTAAATAACTAACAAAGCCCAAGGAAACACRGAGAGTTCTTCCACAATTTTGCCTAAAATATTTTCTCTACTCTTACTTCATACAGCAATAGAACAGCAAATGCAAAACCAAAAGATTTCCAATACTGCATTTTCAAAATGTCTCATCTACAGTCCTTAGCTGCTCTAAAAAACAACTCACTAAGGTCAATTYAAACTCAAGTCTCGAAACCAGCTTATGAATGGCTAAGACAACCTCATCCATGTTTAAAAACAGGAATATTCCCTGCTGATTTACAGCATTTAGTTTTTTAATTACTTTCAGTTACTGGAAGCTTACCCATCCAACACTTCTGCTTGATACGGTATTTCAAGTTTTGAATAGCTCTTCTCTTTTGCTTTAACAGTTATTTTCCCAGAAGACTGTGACGCTTTTTTTGCTTTTGATGCTGTATACACAAGAATATAAGTAGTTTGTTAAAGCTGACCAAAATTGATCCATTAAGTTAGAYAAGAATGAGTGGAAGAATAAAACCACAGAGCTAGCCCAGAAAATATCATGGAAGGAAAAAAAGTGGAGCTTAAGGGACTTTCAGTAAGCAAACTGACACGGTGTAAAGTCTGTGAAGCAAGAGATCCCAATTTGGAACTCCTCCCATTTAACACCAGACAGATCACCTGCCTGAATTAGAAAGCTTATCTACAACAGGGAAGCCTGATTATTCCTGTCATATAAGTAACTTGAAATGTCCAAAGGATAATTTGGATCTCAGAAGAGTTGAACTCCCCACTAAGAGTATGGAACATATCTATCCCTCCTCTAACATAAAAAAAAAAGCCTGAGATTGCTGGGCCCCTCACTTGGAGATACCAGTTGAGAGGAGCTTTGGACCWGAAACACAACAACTTCTTAATAATGAAGAAATGAAATACAAGCTAGGCTTCACAAAAATTGAAGCAGAATCCATGTAAGAATCAAACCACACAAGCACCAAGAGTGATGCTCACAGGTCTGCTCCAAGACCACAGAACAATGAATGTTAGCCTGGTAGCAATAGTGCCAAAAAAAACCAACCAAACAAACAAACAAAAAAAAAAAAACCAAAAAACAACCCCAACCAAACAAGGGATTCAAATACTAATTAAGAGAAACCACCAAGCCCCTAAAGCCCCTCCATGTAATTAGGACAATTGAAACTGCAAATATTTAGGGCTGGCTGCTTCACTGACATGAGTTCAATCAAGTCAATTCTTTAAACACATTAAGCAGCTTAACAGGGTATTTTTCCCAGGAACTACCATTTCTTCTAAGCTGTACCATATGTTAACAAGTACATCGTCATATAACAATTCCCACCAGCTTCAAAATCTGAATGCATTACCAACCTCAGGTTGACAGAATTAATCTATTTCTGAAATTATAAGCTACAATACTTCACTTGTCTTAGAAACCAAGAGTTATCAAATTTCTGAAGTGCTAATTAATAAACGATAATAAAAATTAATCCTTTCTCTTCATACATGCAAGTTCTAAAATTATGCCTACCACAAGTATTGTATCTGTAATGTTCCATTTTTAAGCAATCCAAGCAGAAGGACTTACAGCACCAACTAGTATCTTAAATCAGTAATATCTGAGTAGTCACCACCATTCTAACAGTTGATTAAAATCTTTATAAACACAGAAGTGCCTTTCTACTAAATGTTAACATAGTATTTAAAGTCACACTATGTAGGAGAAAATTCACAGAATACCAGGCTGGAAGGAGATCTCAAGGATCACTCAGTCCAACCTTTCCTGGCAGAAGTCCAGTTTAAACAAGATGTCTCAGATTGATCTTAAGTGCCCAACATTGCAGAATCCACTCCTTCCTGAGGAGATTATTGGCTGATTGTGAAAATTTTTCTTCATTGTAATTGAAACTTCCCCAGGAGAAACTCGTACCTGTTACTTCATTTATTAGGACTTCTCAAAAGCAGATTTTAGACTAAAAATACATTTTAATTAACCAGTGCCTTAACATAAGGATACTCCTATGTTTATTAGAAAAATTAGAMATACCTTCTCTTGTCATCTGTATTTACCAGTCTAAGATACTTGCTGATCATGAACAAAGACAATCCCTCCAGAAATAACAGAAGTTCAGAAGAATTGTAAGCCTTTTCAGGTAGGAAAATTCCATTCCCCTTCTCAAAATTACAAATAGCATATTCTTGAGCRTGAAAATAACTAATAAAACTTCAGTAAGATTTCAGAAGCACGTGACAAATTCTAAAAAGACAGGAGCAATACTTACCATCAAAGCTAATACTTGCAACTTTGGTATATTTACTTTCAGAGGCTTTTAACGTAACGGGCTTGAAATGTACTGTTATAGCTTCGTTCTGTGGTGTAGGTTTAACACTCTGCAAATAATCAAAACATGAAACACCTGTAAATTTATAATCACTAACATGCTGTGAAATCTTCAATGTGTCTTTCACAGTTGATACAACTGCAACTAGTTTTGGCCAAGCTCTTACAAGTCTCTCTTTCCTATAACAAACCAGCATTACAAGCGGTTTTAGAATTTTTTTCAGATCCTACAAATTACTCAGTCAATATACAGGAAAGTAGGTATCAGAGAGTTCTCCATAGGGATGTTGAATTAAGTGACAGGATGGCCAGAAACATATGAATAAATTAGAAAACAAGCTTCATTTAAATTAATATTTAATTTTTATTCTTAATGCTGCAGGGTTAAAATAGTTAGGCTATTTTTTTCTGGTGCACTCACTAGCCAAGCTGTTAACAGACTCGTGCAACTACCASTGATGATACAGATATCTCCCTTGTCTCTAATCCCATGCTAAATTTGCAGAGAAAAAACTAACTGTATAGAGGAACATTTTGTAGATCTGAGATGACACTTGTTCTACACTAAATTCTATGTAGTCACCTTTTACATCTGAAGATTACTGTTTTAAACTAAATGGAAAACGTAAACAGGAAGAGCTATCATGYCAATTGTCAGCCAGGGCTGATTTGYAGAGGTACTCATTGCTATGCAGCAGGATAAGGGATTCCATGCCACCTGAAGACTCTTATGTAAGATTGCTAGCACGCTGTGTATCTACATTCCATGCAGAGAAACTGGGCATGAAGCATTTAAACACCCTTATTCTTGTTTTGCTTAAAATTAGGATGGCTGCCATGGYTCTTCCTCCCCAGCTGTCTTCTGCTTTAAGAAAAGCTCAGCTGCTCACATAGCAGCTGTTAAGCCACCAATTACAGGGGCCTGTATTAGGGAAACTGAAATGAGGGCTGCCTTACCTTATGCTGGGTGCAGAGGTTTAGCACCTGCTTCATAAGCAGCTGAGCCTTTCTTGGCCAGGGAGGAACAAGGCAGACAGCTARTGGTACAAACCAATTACAGTTCTTCCAAGCCAAGCTGTCCTTGATTGTAAATTAAAGCCATAAAAATCTGCATACATAACTAAGTTCTGCAGACCACATGATCCTTAGAGGGAACAAGCWGCACTACTCCTGTAGTGAATGATCTCCATTAGCTCAACCAGAAGTTTTCTATTTTGGATTTATAGTATTGACCTTTGTCCACCATCTGCATGCATGGGGTGCAGATATTTGGTATTTCCCTTCGTAGGTCAATTAAAAACTATCTCAGTTTTTGCCTAATGAAATTCACACTACAAAACTGCAATCTTGACAGGTCTTTAAAAAAAGCCCTCTTAAAGCAGCTGATACCAAAGTTGCGATGAAGTTCAACTTTTGCGTGACAGAGAGGACAACCCTTTTTAGAAGCTCTTTTCTTGTAAAATGCTTTCTTTAATTCCTAGTTTACAAGTTTAAATAATACTGATTTAATTTAGTAAATCAAACTGGTAATATTCAAAAGAACAGCCTGTTGCCAGAAAAATGGCAGGCTTCAGAGGTGCATATTTTAAATCACAAGTGTAACAAACCTACATGTATTTACTCAAAATGTCTACAGATGGTGAATTCAGTTAAGGAAGGAATTTACACTGTTTTGTTGAAAATTTCTGAACTACATAATGCACATTTCTCATGTGTTGCTTGATTTATGCTATAAAGGGAAATATAGAATTAAGACTACTAAAGAAAAAAAAAACCCTTAAGAATCCTTCCAACTTCACTTTCCTCAAATTTCAACCTATTTCACATAAAGCTCAAGCAAAAGCTGTCCTGAAATATTCATAAAAAATAATCAGATATGTACAGGTCCTGAAAATACACACAAAGTAAGTTCCAGCAAGAATATAATACCACCAATTTTCTCAGAAAATTTCCTAACAACAACTTCTGCMGGGAAGAATAATTTTAAATAGACATGCTTCAGTAACACATGGCTCTCCCACAGAATGTCCCACTCAAGATTCCTGAACCTGCTCTGTGAAGACACATTCAATATTTAGCATAACTGCAGAAAATTAAGACCTTAAACGTTCGAAAAGGCACAAAGTGGGGCTAAAATTTTGCACTTTTGCAGCTGTTCTTGAGAAAGACTTTGAAGGTTTAAGGACTCTCAGACAACATTATTCTAATAAACTAAAGAGTACGGTTGAAAGACGGGCAAACATCCATACTGTTCACCAGTCAGAAGGCACCTGAACTWAGTTCTGTCTTGCCCACCTAGCACAGACAAAAAAGCCCTTTGGCTACAGGTGGCAGATTAAGGCTGGTTCCATTAGTGTCAGAACCACTTCTGTACTGTTTTATCCRCCTTTACACGACTGGCAGTAATTACTTGGTCTTCTGTTTCAACAGAGAAACACCTAACTAACTAAAGTCCACTTCCTCCATAAAGAAYGATCCAGAACAGCTGTGGAATAAACTATTACTAAATTGTAATCCCTCATAACTCTGAGATGCATGCACTCAAACATGCAGATGAAACCATAACACAGAAGCAAACTACTTCTTGCAGCTTGCTACAGGAAATTAACCCCTATTCTAAAGTTTAGACAGAACTAAATACTTCCTTATACAAACACTTTCATTTTCTAACTGATGTAACTCAGCTTCACTAAAGCTACCCTGAAGTTCCTGGTTCTTTACGCATCAAACATGATCAGGAGCTCAAGTTTGGAAGTATCCCTTTGCTTTTAGCAGTCAAATAKGCATTAAGTGCCTTAAGGAAACACAAAATTTTCAATACAGARAAAGGATAAAAGGAAATGTTCAACAATCTACATTTACCAGATGTTTGACAGCATGGCTTAAGTCTTGCAGTATGACTAGTTCATCCAGTCGTGAAATAAGCATTGTTCTCCCTAATAATGGAACAAATCCTATAAAATGAGTGAGTTTTTATAAGGAGTTTTAAACCCAAAAAAGAAAGTGACTTGCTCTTATTTTCCTCAACCAATTTGTTGGACCACAGCATGACTAAGTACTTGTAGGCACACAACTACAACTCTGGCAACAGTGTAAGCGGTCTCTCACACACTGATGACCTGAAGATATTTAGTTCCTCCAGCACCCAGCTTAAACATAYGCTAAATATAGCCTTGGCCTTTTCTTCTGACATTAAGATGAAATTTGTCACACAGCTCCGCCTCACTACTTTTAAACCCTAGCTCTAAAGGGTCAGAAGTCTATTTGTCAAACTTTCCTAGAAGTAAGCTATTCACCATGTTCCTTCTAAAATTTCCCTACTCTTGCTCACCACTTTGAAATTCCTTAACCGGCACAGCAGCAGAAATTCACACAGTGCTTCAAAAGCTAGAAAAGTTACAAACTTCCCAACAAAGTTGTTACATAATAAAAAGAACAATGGAGTTGATGTGCATGTGATACATTGAAAAACACATCATGCCTCGATCTATGTGGTAACTTTTTCATTCCAAAGGCTTTAAAAATACCAAATCAACTGCTTTGATACACAGTAAAAAAAAAAAATTATCTGGAAAAGTTTTGTCATGACACGTATAATGGTTATCAAGTGACAGCCTTCCATTAGATCRATATTTATGGTTTACAGCCTATAGTCCAAAGACCACAGACTTAAAAAAAAGATAGGCTTGGGGTTTTTTTTTAAATTGAGGAGTATGAACTAGGCACTACACTACCAGGTATTAAAAGTGATACTGATGGTCTGAAAATATGACTACTTGCATTTTTCTCAGCAACTATATCACACACTTAAAAAAAAAAAAAAAAAAACTGATGGTCTGAAAATATGACTACTTGCATTTTTCTCAGCAACTATATCACACACTTAAAAAAAAAAAGAAAACCTGTCAAATCTAAGAAGACAAACATGCATATTTAGCTGGAGAAATAATTTAACACATTTAGCAACCCTCTCAGTGCAAAAATCATATACAGGTCTTTTTGGTTTTTAAAGTCCTCTATGCAAGTTGTGTTACAGTTTACAAAGCAATGATTCCTATAGGATCACCTGATCTCGTTAATGAAATAAGCATTAGCACCTCAATGAATTAAAATATGTCTGCACTATACTATAAGTTTCTTTTGTTTGCAGTACACTGTAAGTTTCTCTTGACTTGAAAATTATTAGTGAAAAATAGCTTAGCAAGAACTGCAATGGACTATTGTCACTGTGAAAACTTATCTTCATCACTAAAAATGTGTCCTGTTTCTACTTTAAGTTCATCTAGCCTCAGTTTCCAGTATCCTAAGATTTTGCTAGATCTCTTCTATTAAAACACTGTTCCTCATAGTTACAGCTTCAAGCTTTATAAACACAGAACTGCTCTCCAAGATCTCAGTAAGGAACCTTTGCCAATCCTTCAGTCATTCTTCTGGCTCCTCTGGTTTCTTTTCAACACTTCAACACTTTTTGAAGTGCACTGGGACAAGATATAGCTAGCTACACAACTAAATCTGGAAAAGAAGAATACAGGAAGGGGAGAAGGAAGAAGTGAGAAAAATAGTGGGCAATGAGAAAAATCACACAGGAAAAAGGCATGAATGAACAAAGGTGGACTACCAGACTAGAGCCAAAATTCTGTAATAAAAACAGAAAGTAGAAAATCCAAATGCTAGAATTCTGAAGCTGGCTGCACTTCACATTCCGCTGCAGTGATCTTACTGCAAAGGGCCCTAGAGTGTTTGGATTCTTTTCTTATTTCAAGCAACAAAGCAGATAAGCTCAAGAAAATAAGGGTCATTTTACAGTCAGCTCTTGAAAGCTACTCTTTGCTTATCTTAAGAAATTATGTTGGCCAACCACTTTTTTTGCTGATGTGTAAATGTGTGTATGATGAGGACAAAGCATCTCACAGACTCTGTATTAATCTCTCATTTACTGAACGCGAATTACTGTTCTCAAGTACAAAAGTTTCCAAAAGTTCAGATATTGCAGGCACAGCCTAAAAATTCTGTTCAGAGCATTTGAAGGAGGCTATTAAGCAAATTAATTTTACCATGCATAAAAACTGTGYGCCCTGCTATTAAACTACATTTTCATTCATACATCACTTGGTTTCTAATTCTGAACACTACATGGTGAACCTGTGAATGATCAATCTTTATGAGAGAAAGTAAATCCAAGTAGAATGTTTCAAACTGAAAGGAAAGAAAATAAAACTTACTGTAATTGGCACATCTTTTGTTCCTGAATTTAATAAATGCAAATTTAAAATTTTTGGCAGATCTGTTAAAGAACAAAAAACACACCCGTCTATTAGGCTATTTCAACATGTAAATCTTACAAAAATTTACAACATGTAAATTACTTACAAAGTAATTTATCCTGGCTTCTCCCATAACTCCGCTGTTCAGTGTTAAAAAGTTATACTAACATGACAGAACAGCCAGTCAAAATAGCTAGTCCCAAGAATATGACATACAAACAGCATTTTTGTGTATTAGTAGGTATTACATGGTTCAGCTTACCACTCATATTTCTAACACATTAGGAAATGAACAGGCTACAAATGTGACAATGTATGACTTTGTCCGATGCACCAATGTTCAGAAATTAGTCTTACTTGAAAACTTTTACATGTTAAGGAAGTTGCAAGGAAAAGTCCTTCAAAAGATAACTTTTTTTAGTTGAAAGAGAGATAAACTGTTTTTCTTCAGCAATAAATCCCCCTTACAGTTTCAAAAAGTACCTCTGGTTTTACTACTTTTTGATAYGTATGTTTTATTTCATTAAACAATATTCATGTAAGTGTAAATTGTGAAGAACAAATATGTAAGTGGCACTTAAAAATCCTATCATAAAACATTTGATCAAGTTTGCACACTTTCCCCCATATCTGAAAATTATTAAAACTTCCCAGATATAAAGCAATCTTTCCAAGTAAGTTTACAAATGAAATGAACCAAAATGCTTTTCAGACTAAGCCATGTGCAACTGTATAAAACGTTATTACGAATATCATTATATCATTATATAACATTATGAACTTATAACCTGGTGTGCAAACTACTGCTTGCCTGTGCACCTTCCAAGTATTCTTGCATCTGTGCACTGTTGTAACACGCTGTTATCTGTCTTTTTAAAAGCATCATTCCATGAGCAACCCTGAACAGTACAAAGGTAACTGAGCTTTCCTCTCCCCACCCTGTTCCTGATAAATACTTTGAGAACTGAAGAATGGTTTACCTTGTGTTCGTAGTGTACCGAAATCTAGCATTTCTGTTGATGAATAGATTCCTGGTGCTTTAAGAAGAAAAAAAAGTTACAATTTTCTTATCATACTAAGAGCTAACTAATTTGAACAACTGAAAAAAACCCTAATCAAAACACAAAACAAAACCAAAAATCAACAAAAACACAACTACTCTTTTACAAACCTGTTGTAACTTCTACTTCAACAGGGAGAATAATAAATTCTGTGTTGTCTGAGGCATTTGTTTTTATTCTAATGAAGGCTGTATGATTATCTGCTTCTCTTGAAGAAAAGCTGGCTCTCATCACTCCTTTTGTTTCATAGGGAGGTATTTCCTGAGAAATAACCAAAGCACATCTATGAGAGCACAGTAATTACAAAAAAAAGCTGTCATACCAAATAATAATAGAAGCATTACGTGTAATTGTGTTAAGAAAAAAGCTGCAATAGCAGAAAGAGATAGGCTTCATGTAATTAAAATTACTATTAAATTTATAAAGGATAGTTGTAATCAACTAATACGACACTGATTAAAAATAGGTATATGCAAAAGAACTTTCATGTTCCATTTAATTAAGCTGACGATTGTATGATTCTAAGTTTTTACCACAAATTGAATACACAAAAGACAGTAGACTAAATTAACAGAATCTGRCAATAAACAAAAGATATTCAGAAAAAATGTTGACAGTAACATCAAATATTGACTTTGCATGTTCTACTTGTTTTTTCTCCAAAGCAGACACAAGCGATACAGTTTCAGTGCTAAACACTAACTAAAACAGTGCACAGCTCCATGTAGCCAGAAGCTTGTGGAGCTCCAGGCTTATTAGTCACCATGTAATTTACAGGGAAAAGTAAAAATGCATTTTAGTTTCTGTACCATGCCTATTTTAACAGTTCTAATCTGCATTCAGGGTTTGAAAGACAACCCTTTCTGTATTTGCTGGACATAGCTGCAGCACAAGACTAAACTGCAGCACCATAGCTGAAATACTAACATTGGATTTTTTTCCCCTCATCACCTTGCAGAAGGTTTCAGGATTGGATTTTTGGTTGGTTGCTTGGTTTTTGTTTTAAAATAAATGAAAACCTTGATTGGAAATTTTCTAAGGCACAACAACTGCAGATGTATTCTTTAAAAACTGCTGAATATCAAAGTAAGAAGATTTCAAGTTCTGTTTTCACACTTATTTGCAGACCCAACATAATGCAGCCATTCAATAATGTTTCAAAGGATGTGATCTGACTCTTCCATATGAGAAACTATGGATACAAAGTTGGTCAGATCCCTGAAGTAGCTCTGAAGAGTGATCCCAAAAATACTCCTGCATGTGCAAGCTGCTTCAYCCAATCATTCAAGCATTTGGCATCAAAACAATTGTATATAATTATSTATATCCATATGTCAAAGTATCATCACCATACTGCAAATATCTTCTACTTTGATGCTTTTCTAACTGCAGCTCTTGATATAACCAATACAATGATGTGTCTGTGTGTTTCCTGCTTCTAGTTTGATTTCTTCAAGTTGCCTTATTGTTTTGAAATACCAATGGTTATATGAAAATGCATACTAGTGGATATGAAAATGGATGGATAAGAACCAAGAGAAGATTGGTCCATGCAAAACATTGGAAACTTTCACATGTGAGTCATCACTGCTTTAACTGGCAACCTGGCTTAGTGAAGCTGAAAAGCTACATGCCCTGAAAAACATCCCCCTTGACCTCTCCTTACAACTAGGAAGGGGCTATCTTTAGAAGCAATGCAATTTGACTAAAGCAGTGACAAAACATTAGGACACTTATTTTTAAAATCCCTTTTCATGCGAACATCTAACCCTCAGCATCTGTTTCCACTGCATATTTGTAATGTTGTGATCGGTGTTAATACTTAATTAATTTTTGTCTCTAAAACTAAAACACAGCCATTCTAATGGACTTTCTCCAGAAAAGACAGGAATTAAGTATTGGGATTGTCCTTTGTAACTCACTTGGAAATACCCTGTCTTACTTTGCCTTGGAAATGACTTCTTGCAACAAAYACAGCTGTCACATGACTGTAATGATACACTTGAACAACAGACAAGCTCAGGAACCCAATGGCTCCGAAGTCTGCAAGACCTCCCGGACCAAAAAACAGTCATCAAAACATMAAATAATTCTAACTGAAAATGAAAATATGTTCTGTATCTAGGTGGACATTACCAATGGTGTGATACACAGCATGGAGCCAAGTACAGTACCTTTGGGATGCTTCTAAATTTTATTTCACTTAAAGTTATCAGTATGTATTACTTCAAATCAGATTTAATGTGCCAGACCACAAGTCCATCCAATCCACTACCTTGTCTCCAGCATCAGACATGAGGAGTAGGGAGTAGCTGCAGGGCATGCATACAGGAATATTTTCCAGAACAGTTTCCAGCCACTCTTAACTCATGATCTAGAGATTTACTTCAGCTAGACACAGTGCTGTTTTATTTAGTACTCCTTAACAGATTTTTTTTTCTTCCCTAACTTGTTCAACTTCATTTTCAACCAATGTGTGCACTCATAACAATTTGCAGAAAGCACTTTCCGAGTTAAAAAGCCCTACCAACAACAAAAAAGCCAACACAAAAACACCCCTCCTAACCAACAAAYCAAACAAAAAACACGTATACTTTTTGGGCTAGATCCAGCTCACAGGCCTCCAGGACTGAAAGCTCAGGTAGCTGTAAATTCATTCTASTGGGAATCATTTTATTCTTCACATTTCAAAAAGCACAGCTCAATACATATGGCTTATCTTAATTAAACCTTTCATTCAAATCCTACTCCCATAACATTAACAGACCCTGATATTGTTTCTATTTTTAGGGGTATTTTAATGATTACATGACAAGAAACAAAGCTAGTTAAAAAAAACCCCAAAGCTTAAGCTCATATGAAAATAAAACCTCCCCAAACAAGTACAATGAGTGYTGCAAGACACGACTACTCACCCATAGCTTTCTTGTACCTCCCTGCTGACCTGTTGGAAGCTCTAAATGGAGATCACCTCCACTGGAATACATTTCTACCACCTGAGGTGGATAACAGCAAAATGTTAGCACTCAGCTTTAAGGGGATCCTGCTTTAGTTATCAGGTATAATCATATGAAATGGCATAGGTTAGTGACCATTTGACCACTGGAACATCTTRTAAATTCACCTGAATGCTGATATAGCCATCTGCTAGTGCTTTGCTTCAACTGCTCTCTAGAACATTTTGCAATTTGTGAACCACTTAACAGAATCAGAATTTGGTTAAGTAAAGACATCAATCYTGCCTGAACATAAGAATGTTTTCAACATTACGTACAGGGGTATACTAAATCAACACCTTATGTTGTGCAAACCAGACAGAATTAATCTAAGGGGCATCACTGGATTAAAAGTACAAGATCTGTTTAACTTTGTTTGCTTCAGTATTCTTCCTAATTACCAGAGAGGTTGAAATCCTTATTTTCCAGTAATCCCAACCATTTTAAAAACAAAAATTGCACTGCAAAACCTCTGTTTAGGAAATTAAGAAATCTATGACCATAATCTACGATGCCTACAACTGATCTGCAGTTGAGCAGAAAAAAAAGTCATATAATATGAAAGCCATGACCACAACTAGCTCTAAAGTTCAATCAGCATTTTAAGGAGTACCAAAATAAACAAAATTTCAGTTTAATACTGTAAACAAGCATTTAATGATTTTTCTCTTAGGCTCACCTGCAAAGGTTCACTGTGAGGGTTATGTATATTTATTATAGGAGAGAAACTGCTATTTACAGGAACTCGTGCCCCAATAAATGGGCGCAATCGATAGGGATTCGGAACTCCAATGCCAAACACCTGGGTCAGAAAAAGAAACCACAAACTTAAGTAGCTGTATGTAATTGCTGCAGAGTCCAACGTGTTCACCCATTTAAGCAATCCACCAAGTATTCTTTGATTAATTTTAGAGTATACTTCAAACCTTTAAAACCAGTATCATACTAAAGCTCTGAAATAAAGAAACTAGTTTCGCTTGCAGTTAAAGGCAGTTCCTTGTATCTACTATTTACTTACATGTATATTGAAAAAACAGAAAAGCAAAAAACACCTTTTTTTTCTGACACTCTGCAATACTAGGTATCAGCTAAAGGTTAATGAAATATGAAATGTTCCTTTAATTATATCATWATGAAACTATCCGTATGGGAAGTATTTTCGTTGTTCACAAAACATTGTCATGGTAAGAATCATGCTTTCAACAACAGGATTTCTCTCATTTTATACTTTTCATTTTCTCTCATCTGCCTGGTTTATCTTTCTGAATCTCCAGTGAGACTTTTTTTGCCTGTTTAATGAAAAACATTGTCTTGGCACTTGATCAGATGAGTAAAGAGCTAAAGGATGAGTTAGATCACTACAATGAGCCACTAAAATAACACACATAAAAAGGTGTTGGGAGGATTTTAAATCCTATATAATTTCATTGATCTGGCTTACAGTACTGCCCTACATATCTTTACAATGGTATATCTGTGTTACAACAAACAGCAGGGATGGAAACTTCTTCAACTGGGTTGGGCTGATGAAAGAAAATAACAAATCAATAACCCACCACTATTGTGTAAATTTTCTTGGATGATTAAGCATCCCATAATAGATACTACTTTGGCTGATTCACACTTCACTTTTTCGGAAAGAGTGTAATTCTCTTACCTGATAAGTAAATACCCCATGATTAGAAGTGTTAATAAATAAAGTGTTCTCTACATTTCCCACTACTCTTGCGAGGAAAACTACATCGAAGGACGTATTCCCTCCTGGAAGAATTTTCTGGAAAAAATAAAAGCAGGCAAGTATAGGATTAAGTAAAACTGTTTTCTGAATAAATTGCATCATGCAAATGAATGAAAAATCCTTATGTGYTCTTTCTGGAAATACTGAAGTTAGAAAGTCAACTACAGATTTCAAAAGAAAAAAAGTAGAACTTTCAGACAAATGACTGTGCAACAAATAAAAATATTAACAATTTAAAACTTACATAATTGAGGATCATATTTAATTGAACTTTCTAGAAGAGAATTCTGAATTTAGAGCTCAGCTTACCACAAAAATATTTCAGACTGACAGTTCACAGATCACTGGAGAAATGCAATTGCTACAAGGCTTCCATAAATGCAAAARGTTGCTGATTACTGACAGCTTTTCTGATTTTTTTTTCCATGTTTATATGGCTCTCGCTAAGCCACAGACCCCGCAGACAAAACTGAAACTAGAGGACTCTGTCTGACAGGAATGTGGTTAGGGGTTAACGCTGCTGACACCACACTTTTGAATGTGCAAGTTCCTGCAGCAAAATTACTAACAGCTCTAAGTGCATTGGAGCAACTACTGCTCATAACACCACTTCATGTGACTCTAGAATTTTCAGAGAAATTATAGGAACAGTTTGTAGGTGCTTGAAGGAAATGTAGTCATTYCAGCAACAAAGGAGATCTGCTGTTAAACCATCAATCACAGTATACATTTTCAACATAGTGAGAACTAGTGTTTCCGTATTCAGCTCAAATTTGCTCTGATATGAGATAAACTACAGTATCTTAACATTTCTAGGTAKGTAATTATTGTAGTAAGTCACTCTTTAAAAGAAGCTTCCATTCAGATTGGAGAGGGGGAAGAAAACATCATTTTGAGAAAGCAAAGAAACTTACCCTATTTTGGAAAAACGATGCATGAAAATGTGATGTTGTAGCAGATATTGATACTAATGTAATTGTTTCTTCTGAGCTAGGGTTATGTAGGTAAACTTTTTCCATTTTTGGCATTCCAACTGGCCTGTCAAAATAGAGGAGAAAATATTTTCAAAGTGTCAGAAATCTAGACATAGAGCACTGATCTTTTACCCATTACACCAGACAGGAGCATAAAAATGATGAACACTGACAACAGCGCTTTGCATTTAATGTTTTGGTTTTTTTTTCAAGTAATATATGTAACCTGGACCTATAAGAATTAGTTAGCATCTTTTCCATTATTTTATTGCTTACTTTTCCTGAAGGCTTACCTAATGTTGCATCATACTCATGAAATTCTATTGTTGGGTTTTTACCTCAGAATCAAAAGAGGCAAAGTTTTCTATTCCTATGCTAAAACCTCTAAATAATTATCTTCAGACTGTATGGAACAACTGAAAATAAACAGAACACACTCTAAACAAAAGCTTAAATGTCAATTTTTTCCATAACAGATTGTAAATAGTCTTACTCAGAATCCAAAATTTTTCTGGTATATTTTATAATATGCCCTACGGAATTAATGCAGATATTACAGAAAGAACKATTTTATTTCTATACTGTATTTGAATTCATACCTTAAGTAAAAAAAAAAAAATAAAGGCTTGAGATAAATTCTAGAATTTAAGAACTGAAAAACATGGAAGTCACACARTCAGACAACTGCACAATTATGAGTAACAAGACACGCTAACAAATTTATTTGACACAAGCTTTAGGCTTGTTTCCTCTTGCTTACAACAGCTGAGGTGACAACAGATCTCCAGTTTCAGCAATTATTTTTCAGACATTAACGTCTCGTCAAAATTTTTTCATGCCTTTTAACTCATACATTTAAAGTATCAGCATCAAAGCACTAATAAAGTGTGCAAATTACAAACTGCTCCATTTTGAATTCTGAAATTCAAAATAGTTAACTCTTAATTCTCAGGCTACATGTACTCCATGTAACACTCTCTCCCATGTCACTTACTCCAAACATTGGAAAGACCAAAACTACTGATAAGAATTACTACCTGTAGTACCAGAGTTGATGATAAGTTGATGATGGCAGCTGTTCTGCCATCCTCAATTAACCTTAACAGACCAAATTMATACGTGCTATTGCGGTCACATTTTTTTCAGTTTAGAAGGAGGTGTGGAGTATCTCAACAGATGATGCAACATAACTTTGCTGTAAATTAAAGGCTACATTGAATGGAGAATTTAGTGACAATAAACAAACTTTGCCACAATTTACAAAATGATTGTGGTTTCAGAACTTCCTACACACAAAATGTGGGCTAAAGAAGCAGACGCTAAAGACCACATTATTAATGCAAAGACACAATTATTAACTATCAATAAGTGACACCATCACTAACAGGAAAATATATCTGCAATCTTCTACTGCACATCTCTCTGCTTGCTGAGTCCACCMAATTTCATGCCTCCATCAGCACACACTTGTCCTTGATCCTTCCTTCACTGTCAAAAAATCTCATTTTGACTCCTCTAACTTCACCAGTAACAAAGACCACAATTTCTGGCTAAAACCAAACATCCAGATTAAGCCCTAACAGAMAATATTTCTATCTCTTGCCAGCATACATGGAGATGTCAGAAAGGGAAATGATTTATCAGTCGTGACGCTTTGCTTTAACTGTTACACTGCTATCAACAGAATCAAACAGTAAACCTAYACACCTATTCTTTTGCTAGGAAAAAGCCTACCAGACCAGAGGAAGGTAAGTGAGAGCTTAAATTTCTTCATTTCTACCCCCATCCCCACAAGAAAGCCCACCATAACAACAAACATGCAAATCCACAACCACAGAGGTGCCGATAGGGAGTTACCAAGCATCCCTGAATTCTGAACACACTGCTTCAAACACTCTTTCACTGATATCACTACAGATGGCCTTGAGYATTTKATCTGAGAYGCTTCTMTCTATAGCAGTCAACACTTTTGCAGCAAATTCCTTGTTTAGACAAAGTGGTCAAGCCTTTAACCAGTACTCTGAATCTACCAAAACCAAAATGACAAAAAAAAAGGGCAGAAATAAAACAATCAAGTCCTCCAACAATGAAGAAAGCTCTTTCAGCCTAAGGATGAGCTGCCTGTAACTTAGTTCTCACTACAATTTTTCACTCTCCTTAGTAGAAGGCATGCTCCCAGCACCTTAACACAACTCTTTTGCTTGCCACAGTGCAGTTTTTGGATACTTCTCTTCCCCACAGCACATTCAACAKCTCATCAAGAGGAAAAATCTTTCTCCTCCTTTGTAACAAAGCACTCTAACCACTCTACACATGAAGAGCTTAACAGCAGCAAGTAGAATCAAACAGAACAGCTCCRTTAAAGACCAACAGCAGGAAGGGAAGAGATGAGTAGATTTTAATCAGATTTTCAAGTACTACATGTAAGCAAAAGACATGACTAATGTATCATCTGGGGTCCCTAAAGAGAAATAGCTACGTACTGAAAACTTCAGATCAGAGCTGACTTCAGTKACACTTTTTATGATGCATCATGTGTGAAACATCACAAAGCCAAGAAAACGATGTTGAATGAACTGGCAATTGCGAAGGTCCRGTCTGCTCACGTCAGAAAGATAGTTTGGAAATAAAACTCATTAGCTCAGAATTACTACAAATATTAAAAATCTTTAAGACGTTCTTGCTTTTCCTGTTCTGAAAAGGATTCTACATCTGTTTGAGAGAATAAAGTCTATAAAAACAAACTGCCATGACTAATACCACACCTCACTCATTTCATATTCCAGAATAAATTACTACAGTATAATTCTAGGTAATAAAGGCAGAAGGCACTAAAAAGGAAATCTGATTAGGTTAGGACTTTGTTTTACTTTACTGTTTTGCTGATCATTCTGATTTTGAAACAATGAGTCTGATATTACATTTGGCAGAGATACAGCTTTTCTTATATTCTTTAAGCTTCATGTTAGCCAAATATACAGAAACAGGACCTCATAAAGCTCACCTGTTTTTAATGCCATCAGACATGGTAAAATCCAGGTAGGGCAGTGTGCACCAGACATCTCTAATGAACSTGCCTCTCAAGCCATAATCTCATAAGGGATGCTCTCCAAGCTGCAGATTATCAAACCACAATGATACGCACATGTATAGCTGTAACTGATGCCAAATTTTAGAGCAGATTTTCCCAGAGCAGTCCCAGCCAGCACTTTTCATTGAGAGAAGCTGGTACAGACACAGACCTTCTGGCAAACATGAATTACCAAAGCATGTAAGATTTTGCTCCTGATCCTTTATCCCCTTCATAATGCTAGGTCCACCTACACTGATAAAAAACCTGATACCATAACCTAGATGAGAAGATGYTAATTAAAAAGGGTGAGGTGCTGGGTCAAATGGGCATAGAAGCCTGTGTTCATGTTCTTTACTGCTGCAACTCAAGTCTTTCCAAAGTCTAAATTGGTATCTGCAGTGTATTGTAAGCACGTCCTTGTAATGGAATTCATTGATGTTGCAGGGATCAAAAGGTAGATTCTTGTAAAAATGGAAACCAGCCTTTGAAAGTTTTGGGGAGCTGGGTTCTTGAGTTATTGGCTCAAAATTTACTTGCAAAAATATCTAGCTACTCATTGTAAAGCAAACACAAATTGAGAGAATGCCCTTTCAAAAGAGCAATTAATTTTTTTATTACTGCTCATAGCCTAAACACCTCTGTAAAATGCTCACTTGATTCATTTACAAGTCTATTACTTGTAGATGATACAAATGTTTCACTGAAAAGAAAAATATATTAATTCAGCAGATACATTCTTCCTCTTCCATCTCTTATTCTTTCTAAAGAGAATGGAGAGAGAAATGAAGACAACCAAAAGCTTCCCAGTTACATTTTAAAATGCTGTGAATGTAAGTAAATATACTCAGTATTCAATTCCAGTAAATTCCTCGTGAATTTGAGAATTTTACATGTTGTCCCACATGTATTTTTTTCATTTAGCATCTTTGGCAACTGCGGAAACAATTGTAAAACCAGTTGCCACACAACATATCAGAAGTTTCACAAGGGTTAAATCAGTATCCTGTCATACAGTATCCTATTAGATAGGGGTGAATAACAGATGCCTAGAAGGCAGAAGAGTAATGTAGAAACCATACAAAGTCAGGTGCCCAAGACACTCTCTTAAGCTCYGCAACTTCCTGAACCAATGAAGACAGTTCTCCAACCAGAAGATCAGACTGCGCAAGCTCCAACAACAGGAACTTGGGTGTTGACTTGTAACTTATCCAACTACTTTTAATTAAAAGAAACAAAATGAGCTGGTCTTACAAGGCTACCTCTAGAACCTGAAAGGGAATGCCTTTCATGCCCCATTCTGAAGAAAATGCTAGTTTCCTTACACAAGGGAAGCCTGCATGATGTACAAAACTAGAGAATTAGTGAGCAGAACATTCTTCCTGATTCGAACAAAATGGGCAAGCAGCTTCTTTGCCTGAAGTTAAGAGTAGCTGAAGCACATACATTTGCATTCTCAAACRTGTCTCCAACTCAGAAAAGCAGAAAGGTTTTCATTTTGTATAWGTACTAACCTACAAATCAGTTGTTTCTTAGCTTCTACATTTCCYTAGCTTTTAACAACCAGAGAAAGTTCTTTGACATAAGACTTGACAAAAGTTGGTGTCTACGTAACATACTAAATAGAGCACGTGCCCCATTTCATATGAGGAATCTTAGATGCCATACAACAAAGTCCAAACTGTTTTCCAAACAGTTATCAAAATCACATATACAAGTAGCAGAGTTTATCCAACCATACCATCAAGTGTGATTGGAATGAATCTAAGAGTGTAATGAACTTTCAACAGCACTGYGCAGTCTAGCATGATATGTGAACAAAACCTGAGGTAGATCTTGACGAAATGTCAGTTTACTGTCAACAATTTCTCACATTCAACAAACTCCAAGGGAAATGAAGTTTCCTTTTACAACATTTCTTCAAACTCTCACACATTAGAAGTGCACCAAAGGAACTGGGTAAACATATGGATGTACATAGTAGGCAACTTAGAGGTACTTTCACCAGTTGTAAATGCACTTAAAATGTAGGAAAAATAGCAATCTTATGAAATTTTCTAGTTGCTAAAATTCTTAACTATTTATTGTACAAGAAATTAGAGTTCTTGAAGAAAACAGACCATTTTGCTAAACTTATATAAACCTTACTTTACTTGAAGTAACTCCCATGGCTTTAAGGACATTTATACCTACTGTATATCTAGAAGATGCAAGTATTTTATTTATAGCTCAGGAAAACTCCCAATAGCTAAACTGTTAACAATGTAATTTCTCCATTCCCTTACCGTGCTAGCCCTACCCAAAGTTTTACAGCAGTCACATCTTACACATCTTAAGGGTGTAAATCACTGAAGTATTACAATTACTCTGCAGTATAAAACATTTGTGATATGTCTTGACCTTCAAATGCCCCCTTTTAATTTGTCTTCTTGTTCTCAGTTCATGTAATTAAAAGTATAACTGTAGGCAGGGCAGTCTAGATTCAAAGGGAGGTATATTAAGACACGTTTAGTGTGGCTGTATAGTCCAGATTTTTACCCATTCTGACAGKGGGTAAAGTATGTCCCTTACATTACTTAAAGTAATATAAGTTCTCCACACCTGCAAGATCTCARTATTTGAACACAGCCAACAAATTGCTGTCAAGCCCAGCTCAAGCTTTTACAGAATATCCTGCCAAACACTAGACCTCAAAAACAAGAAACATAAAAACATTACAAAAATCCCCTAATGAAAATACTTCAAAGAAAATGCAAAATGAGATTATCAACATAAAAGTGAAAGACAGAACATCAGAATACTGTCCTACCAATGAGAAAGTTTTGTCTGAGAATAGGACCCTGTTTAAATTGAGTGAATCTCCACTCACCACAGAAGAATACGTTGGTCAAGGATTAAAATATTACTGTAACCAAAAGTATAATTTCATATACTACCAACCATTTCTATGAAACAGGGGTAGGATGTCAACTTCATCTAAAATAATTCCATATTTAATTTTTTTTTTATAAGCAGTTCTAGCTTATATTGTGGTAGTATCCTAAAATTACTTCTACCAAAAAGCTTAGTTGTGAATAACTTAAACTTTACTTTTGATASAGTCAGAGTTGAATTAACAAGGATGAAGGCAATGTATTGAGATCTGTGAAGCTGCATATTCTCCCATAAAGCAGGTGCAAGAACTGAATATAAACTGCCCTGCAGAAGTGTTCTTCAGCCTTTACCCCAGGTGGCCACTTGTAAGACCTCTAACATGAACACCTATCTTAAACACAGAAAGTCATATAGATAATGACTGCTCTGCCAAAATAACCTCTGAGCAACCAACTCCCAAAGCTATGGAGGATACATAATGGTTACTGTTTGTAGGTTAGAACGCCTCAGTTATTCCCTTTCAACAACAGGGTAGAGGAACACTTTAAAAGTAAAAAACCAGAAGAATTCAAGTTAAAATAAAGTCAGCTAGTTGTGGAGCTGGTTTTAGGTGAGAGTTTTCCTTCTTGTTTTCTTTAAAGCCCTGAATCTCCATACCCAAGATGTTGCAGATTTGTTCCAGAAAAAGACTGGTGTTGCTTCAGAAATACAAGAAAAGGCTTACATATTAAATAACCAAATGAGTATTCCATACTTAGTCCAAGCATTCCTCTGGCAAAGTGATATGGGAGAACCTGCCTCAGTACTATCCCATTCCCAGAGGCTTAATGTATACACAGAACATCTGGGATCTCTTTAAGTGAGCTGAAGATTTGCATATACTTTTGCATATCCTAACATAYAGCATACATTTCTTTTGATAAATTTGAGATTACCTGGACTGCCTTCAAAGTGGTAGAATATAGCAGTGTTTGTTTTATATTAAAACGGCATTAAAAAAACCTCCAACTGTTATAAACCAGAAGTAGAATGCTATTGTAATCGCACCTCCAGGTGGAACACAGGGAGTATATCTATAGTATATATTTATCAACTTAATACTGGTTTTGATTTTCTGACATCCTTAGATAAAGTAACTTTTATTAAATATTATTCCTGCTTAAATTGTCATGTTCTTTGAAACATCTGATTAAACCCACACTCTCTTAGCAGACCAAAAATGTCACAGGAAAAATGGCTTGACTTACATCTGAAAATAAAYACTAAAACTTTCTTTAGACTAGCTATGACACATGTTGATAGCTCAGCACAAACATGAACTTTGAACAAGTTTGCTTTACTAAATGCTACATGCTACCTATTAACAAAATRCCCTTCGGGTAGAGTACTTATTCAGAAACTAAATATGCCTTTTATTCCCTTTCTAAAATCCCTTAATAACAAACACAGAAAAGATTGAATTTGAATGTGAAAACCCTGTCTGTTTTAAAAGGCAAAAACCTCAAAAGCTTAAATCTGCATTATGTGACCTCCAAGGTGCTTGGCACCTGCAGCTTGTTCCCACCATAAGACTGGGTTCTCAGCATTTCTTAGAGTTGGTTCAGAGATTTTAAATTAAACTTCAGGGCTCCATATCTAAATCTTTTCTAGAACTGCTTTTGAAAACTTAAGTTTTAATAAATCAGAAGCGAATTTCTGCCTGAGACTATGACCTAAATCACAACAGATAAATTAATGATATACTCCTACCAAAAAAAGCACCCAAACAAAAAAATTAATCAGATCTGACACACAGGTTCCTTATTTTAATTGGCAGAAGGCAGMAATCCCCCAGTGCAGTTTTGCATGTATTGTACAGAACCATTCCCAAGTAAGAGATCTGTGTTACTTTTAACACGATACTAGACCTATACTATTTCTTCAGCACTTTTAGCTTTCACAAGAACAGCTTACACAAAAAGCTGAAATATAAAGAAGAACAACCTAAAGTATTTATGACACTGTCTTGAATCTACTTGTAGCAATGGGAAAAATCATMTTTGGAATCCACAAAACAAAGAAGCACATGCAGCTTTCCTCAGATAAGCATGCAAATTCCAGATAACCTTTAAAAGGTATTACAGAGAACATCAACTTTATTCGTAGTGGTAAAAGGTGCAACAAAACACTTTTACAATATCAAAGTCTGGAATTATTATGAACTGAAAACTTCTAAAATTTTTAAAAGAAAAAAACTTGAATGCAAATCAATAGGTAAATTTACAGTAAGCCTAACAAAGAGCACACTCCTCTACAAGTTTGAATTCGTACTGCACTCACTGGTATAATTTATTAACTATAACCTTATTTTCAGGTAGAAAAGATACAGTACTGTAGGGCTTACCAAGGTATTTTGCTATTCAATTTAGAAACTCAGTATCYTCTTACCTAGGACCAGTTACTGACATTAGGAACAAAAACACACAACATCAAAAGCAAAAGGAAATTTTGAAGGAAAAAAGAAGAGAGGGCAGAGTGACTTATTCTGTCTTCRTTCAGAATTAACGCCACAATTTTGTTAGACTGAACACAAATAAGTTCTGTAAAATGAGGCATTTTCATATAACTTCATTATTTAGTGACATTGGCATTGGGGTTTTTTGTATAGATACTATTTCTGCAAAGCTACTCTGTGCAAACAACACAGAGTTATGGCTTCTCAACTTTCAGAAAGAGAAGTACACACAATGTCAATACACAGGAGCTTCCTTGCACACCTCTGTAGTTACCACACTGTGTAACAGCCTTTCTAATAGAAAAGGGTACTGCATTTTTATTAATAATCTGTGGCTTATCTGTAAACAAAACAGCCTTTCATCCAGCAGCAGTACTGGCTGAGGATGGGGGAAACAAYGCTGTGCACTAAGGCACACCTGGGCTGTTTTCATTTTTCCAGGCTGAACTGGTAACAAAATGTTTGAAATGCATTCATTCCTGTTTACATTGTCAAATCATCAATCATGTACAGAGGYTGCATCCATGAAAACCAACTCCGGAATCAATTTTGACTGTTGGGAAGAAGAGGGACTGGAACTACCTATACACAATAACCAGTTAATGGTAAGACAAGTTAAGAGTAAAGCAGTCTCAGAGGAACCAATTACAGCTACATTGATGAAATTTTTAATTCTTTCCTCCTCCCTTTTGTTTAATGGAAACAGCAATCAGCTGCAAGGTAGAGCACATGGTGCTAGGTTCCTGGAGGCTGTTTGTTCTCCTTGAGGCTGTATTTTCATAACTCAACATTATGTTTCAGTAATTGCAGATCCACTGTCAGTTTTTTTGCCATCAAAGCAATAGTAAAGTTGATAAGCTTGGGTACATGCTCCCTGATGTGGGTTATCTTCAAGCAGAAAGATAATCTCACCTCAAGACATTAARTTCTAGACTTAAAACTGTCCACTCTGCAGAACAGCTGTACAAGTACTAAAAAGTACAAGTACCTACATCATCAAAACCATGGCAGCTGACAAGTTGCTACACGATGTGTAAGGCAGTACAGCAGCTCTCTGTAACATGTAGGTAAATTACACTTACAAACTATTAAGGAAATCTACGTAGAACCTTCTCTATCAGCTTTAAATGTTCTTTTTATTTGTTTTCTGGGTTTGTTTTGTTGTTTTTGTTTAGCTGTCTCTTGTTTGGTTTTGGGGTTTTTGGGGGGGTTGTTTTGAGGGTTTTATTTCTTGGGTTGTTTTTTTTTTGGTTGTTGTTTGGTTGGTTGGTTTTGGTTTTTTTTTTAGACTTGTATAATTAAACAGATCAAAGACTTTTCAACTTACTGTTCATGGAAGTCCAGCATTGGTGGCTCAAACCGGAGAGGTCGGCAATTTCCCCGATACAGGGATACACTGCAAGAAAAATTGAAATGTTGTAAAAGATACTATCAAATGACACATTTTTGCTTCCTACCCATGCCCTTTCTTAGCAAAACATTCATTAATACTAAYAAAGCAACTAATTCAAAAGAAGAAACAAACAAAACAAACTTGTCCAGTCAGAATACCATAATTTTACAACATGATTATGTGGTGTCTCCAACAAAGATTATGCAAGAGCACATATCTTGAAAATGGACATAATTGAAGGGCAAACCTCTCCTCKATATAATGATGGCTGAGTGAAACAACACACTAAATAGATTTATATCATCTTTCACAGCAATGCTATGAAATTGTTATGAAAGATGKTTTGGATATTGTCCAGTGTGTAACAGTAATTCACACATCATGAGTTTCTCCATCTACTTCTATACTAGTACATAAACAATCCTGGACCCATTTGATGGCACTGAGGTCACATATGAGAAAACAACCAATACTGTTCAATACTTGCAATATCCMGAAGACAATGACTCTGCTCTGGAAACACTTCTTAGCTTGGCCTATACTAACCTCCCACTAGAAACTCTTTAGGAAAATTCTAGTAGATGAAGACCAAAACTTCACTCAAACAACCCAGCAATAAAGTCAACAAAGTACCTGGAAACATTCTCTACTACTACTCATTTTATCAGTACAGTTACACAGAGCACAAGCAGTAACCCTTAAAAAAATTCTAAGTAAAARATACAAAATAGTTTCATTCACTGAAACAATTTTTTATTATTCAGAATCATGTGACTATGATGTGACAGCTAAACATCTCTGTAACTCTAACACTTTATTTTGGGCTGAGTAAAAATCCTGTTCATATAAAAAACGAAACAGAAAGACAACAACATAAAAAAAAAAAACAGGGAAGACTGAAGTATAGATGAAGATCAATATCTCCTGAATGGCAAGACTGACAGCTTCTTGTTTTAGATCTTTGTTTTCTGACTTTGCATCAATCCCAGATGCCCAAAGAGTGAGCTGGAGCCACTTGTCCTGGGAGAGGAAAGCTACTCCATAAACCCAGTTCTACCCAGAACTACGCAATTATCCCTCAACAAGAAGGAGCAGCCAGGAAATGGGACAGACACATGTGGCTCATCTTATGAAAGCTATGGCCTTGAACAAAAATTAATCCAATTCCATCCAGCACAGTTCCAGGAAAACTAATTGTTGATCAAATTCAGGTATGTTTCCATACTCCAGAACCACTTCAAGAAGGAAGGTATTTACAGGAGTAAACATTTAAGAAGAGGTTAGGAAATCCTAATTTCCTTTAATCCTTTAATCAAAAATCAAAATCCTTTAATCTAAATCAAATCAAAAGCCTTTTAAATAAAATTACAATATCTCAATGACTCACTCTAAAACTCCATGACTGAATCTTCACACTTCAAAGATAATACAGAGCATGCTAATCAATTTCCAACTCTATGTTTGGATGTCAGAGCACCTTCAATGCTACAGAGCCTAGTCACTAAAAATAGCTTTGTCCACATAGAAGTAATAAAACACTATCAGGGCTTAGTACATCCAATCAACCTTAGTATGTATATACTTAAGTACATATGTGTGTGTGCACGTGTGTGTGTAGCAGATATGCTACATGTGTGCAGATCACAGTACAACAAAAGTGAAGATAGAAGACACTAATAGGAAAAATAGTATTCAGATCAACAAGAAAAAAATTAAAATTCTTGCTACTATTAAGTGTGGCTGTGACACATAACAGTTGTCAAATAAGAGAGTGCTTGGGTACACCTTCTCAGACTAAAGTCAAACCTTGTAGAACAAATGTTCAACAAAATAAAGTTTACAGAGACACTAGACATAGGAAAATTCAACTGGAAAATTACACCAGCAGTTATGTTTCAAAAGCAGACAGTATGTCTTCAGAGTTCACAGTCCAAGTTTAACACTATTTAGAGTGCATTTCTAAATGAAACAGGTCAAAAAGGTCATCTACCTCCATTGTCAAGATAACACTAAACAGAAAGTACTCATCCTAAAGTGATCTTAAAAATAATTCTGTCCATTTCTTCCAAAATTAAAACTCTGATCAGACAGCCCCTCTTTTGTATTGATAATTATTGGAAGAATGACATAGCAATTCCTTTTATGGAAAAAAAATATTTACAGTATTTGAAAAAGCRATAATTAATATCTTTATTTCAAATGATTGGAAATGCTGTCAAAACTAACTTGGACTGACTTGAACAATCAGGATATATTAAAACCTCCACATATACGTAAAGTTTAGCCAACATTTTCTCAGACCATAGAGCTATATTATCCTGGAAAGCCAGTTGGACAACACAGAATTTTTAAATGGGTAAAGTTTGGTAAAGGCAATGACATCATAATGAATGCCAAATATTATAATAAAAGTAACAACTGTAATAAGATTCAAATGGGAACAAGTAATATTAAGATACACAAACTCTGCCTATTGAAAGGTCCAACATGAGTCAACTTGCACCAGACTAGAAAATGATGATAATGTCTGCTCCACTAGGCACTTGCTCACCAAAGGCTGGATACGCCCATGGGTAGGGCAACTTTACAGCATAATGACATGAAGTTAATTACTATTGTATACATGTAGAAATATGGCTCCCGGTCTTATATCACAATTTAAATGTTTTTCCTTCCCTACCCCTCCAAGTTTTCTAACTTTTAAAGACAAGAACAAAAAGAAAAAGATGCATCTGGAAGAGAGGACTGCTGATACCTGCCAATAATCACCAGAAGGCTCAGAATCAGCTTAGAGTCATCTSAATCCACGATTTAAATATTCTCACCATCTCTTTCCTGCTGCAAGATTTTGATATTAAAATGAGATGTGAGAGTGAACGACACATAGTCCCCAGCAGGATCATTACCCTCCCCGTTCCATCTATGATATATCTGAGTGGGTWTTTATCTCAACTAAAAACCTCAACTACAACTAAGGTACTGCTGCTACCCAGAAGCAACCTACTACCAGATGCAATTCACTGAAGTGCGGCTTCATGTCTCAGTCACAGATGCTGTCAYGAAAATGGTCAAAATAGCAATGCCTGCAAACATTGTAGCTGATATGGGCGTCCATCTGTGCTGAACCACAATATTCTTCTGTCTTAAGCACAATCTGCAGCACTTCTACAATGTTTTGCTGTTTATCACAGAGTACTAGGCMCTCAATTTTAGATAATCAATGCACATCTTTGCATTTGGAGATGGAAGAAAATGCTTGTCACATACAGTATTTAAAGATTTCTGCAAGTTGGGCAGCAACAGTGTCTCAGTATCCTCACTTTACCTTTTTAGCTGTTCTGTGATTTCTGGAGGAGTTCTGTGCACTGTGGAATCTTATCTGTAACATCTTTAATTGCTACTGTAGAAAATTAAAATCTAAGCATACTTCACATGTATTTTTCCCACATTACTTAAGCAGTTGTTTAAAGGGTTTTATTTCCTCTCTTGTGCCATAAATTTTAAAGAAATAAAGACAGAAGCATTAAGCTGTGAAACAGAAAAATCTCATTATTTTATTTAACAACATGAACTCTTGGAAATAAAGTAGAGGCTTTCTATTACCACAAAATCAAATAAAAGTGTATCTAAAAATAACTACGAGAACCTTTAAAATGACAAATTGGCAAACGCTTTACAGTGGGTACTTTTTGTGCCAGAATCCTCGAAAGAGCCACTGCAGACTTCTTGAGCTAAAAATGTTCTGTAAGTAACCCTAGAGCATCCACAACAAGGAACATTTYTTTTTCATAAACTACCCAGGTAGTAGCTGGCTCAGATATGCCAACATTAACCTTGTATCAGAAAAACACACTCATATCAGACAAAGTTCAAAGCTAACAAATGCCAAGGGGGAGTGTCTGGGGAAAGACCAGGGAGAAGCTTGAATAGATGCACTGTAACATGACCATGGGCATGAACAAACCAAATTGAACTGCTAGTTCATTTCCCTCCTTCCAATTAGTGCTAAAAAGTAGATTAGAACACTGAATAAACTGTCTAAATAGGGATGAAATACCAGCAAGCCATACCAAGAAGAAGATATTACAATCTCTGATAAGGACAAGTCATCTAGAGAATGTAAGTATTGTTTTTAGCAATGCCACTGAAAAAAAATCACCTAGAAAAATACTTGAACGGGAAGATTGATGCAAAATCAATAACAGCAGTGAAAGAGAAAAACAGAAAGCAAATTTGGTATTTTCTATGTAACATGGTATCAGAGACTTTGTGATGCAGATTTTCATCACATTGTGACTGAACTTCAAATTGGCCAGTGCTCTGAAGCGGAACAGACTATTTCTTTTCAAATATCTAAACCAGTGTTTTAATAAAACACACTCTAGAAGGCTGAAGTTTCAGATAGCAATCTTCTCAGCTGAGAAATTAAAATAAAAAATCCTGYAGGTAATCGAGTCCATGGCCTCAATCTCAACAACCACTGAATTTAGTTGTTTTCTGGGAAACAAAAATAYTGCACCTAATCCATGGATGCCAAGAGAGGCACTTTCTTTCTGGCATTGAGATGAGATGATTTAAACAAGATACTATTCCATTTAAATAATCTCAGTGAAGTCTGGCCCTACCCAAGACACAGAATACACTAATCATTGTTATCTTTAGTTCAATTGTCATTCCTATAAATTCATGTTCTCATATTTGTAATCTGACTGACATACTGCAGCACATAGCCACAGCTGTTTGCATTCCTGTCCCCAGCTGGAGATTTCATCGGTTTTTCAAAACTTGCARAAAGAAGGATCTTAAGCCCACAATTAAGCAACGATACACATAGTAAAACAGGAACTCATCTGAAATGGAAAATTCTTTTACTAGATTTCCTGAAAAGGAACAGAAAACAGGTCATGGAAAAAAACATCGCTGCATTTACTGAAAATGCACTATGACAGGTTGTTGAATGATACCATACAAGAAACAAGCTTCATTATTACTGCTCAATGCACTCATTAAATAAACAAGAATATCTGAATCATTCTCTAGAGAAAAAATTAGGGACCGGGGAAAAAAAGAGACCACTTACTTTCCTTCTCAGGTATTATACACAGCAAGTTCTTTAATAACAGATTATGTCTTCAGGACAGGAGAGGACAAGATGGGTTCATGGGTTATTTAGTCTTAAGAAGTGGAGGTTCAGAGGTGACCTCACTGATCTCTACAACCACCTGAAAAGARGTTGTAGTCATGTGGGGGTCAGACTCTTCTCCCAGGCAAGCAGAGACAGAACAAGAGGAAATGGCCTCAAGCTGTGCCTGAGGAGATTCAGGTTGGATATTCAGAAAACAGTCGTAACTGAAAGAGTGGTTAAGCATTGGAACAGCCTCCCTAGGAAAGACATGAAATCACCACCAAAAACCAMGTAGATGTAGAACTTTGTGATACAGCTTAGTGGGCATGGTGGCAATTGGCTGAAGGTTAGATTTGGTGATCTTGGAGGTCTTYTGCAACCTTAATGATTCCAAGATGGGACAAAGGAATGCGGCGAAGAATCTATCAAAAATAACATCAACTATTTCTTCAAAAGGACACCAAGAACTTATGAAACAGGCAAACCCACTTCCTGCTCAATAGAAGTAACCACAGTAAAATGATTTTAAAAAATCCAAGCAGAGTCTCAGTTTAACTACACAAAATTTCTCTATCATATACMCTACAAAGTGAATTAGAGAATCCTTCAATTTTTTATCCCACATGCGAAGTTTCTTGCTCAGGAAGAGCCACAAAGATGATCAGAAGGACAAAGCACCTCTCCTACAAAGATAGGCTGGGAGACTTGGGGCTGCTCAACCTGAAGAAGAGAAGGCTCTTAAGTGAYGTCAGAGCACCTTCTAGCACCTAAAATGGGCCACAAGAGAGGTGGAGAGGGACTTTTCACAAGGTCATTTAGTTAYAGGACAAGGAAGAAATGGCTTTAAACTGAAAGAGGGCAGATTCAGATGAGATATGAGGAATTCTTTATTGAGAGGGTGGTGAGGGACAGGAACCCTGCCCATGGCAGAAGGATGGAACTAACTTATCTTTAAGGTCCCTTCCAACCCAAACTGTTCTATGATTTAGTTGCTCAATATTAAAAACTGTCCCACATCTTAGTTTCATTTCCTCTGTATGAGAAAAATAATTGAAAAAAAATCACATGGTTTGGATTTGATTCTTTTTACACTAAACCTTGATTTTTCTTATGAAAAGTATCACAAATCTTACAATTCAAGTCTGTATTAAACTTTTAGAAAAATGCTTACCTTTTTTGTTGATACGAACTGAGGCCTAAAGTCGTCTCAGTCTGTAAAAAAAAAAAAAATTAAATTTGAGACACTGACAGCATTATACCTCCAGCAGGGGAAAAACCCCCACCTAACAACTTGGCAACCACAATGAGTTAGTAAATCAGATCTTGAAAGACAAAAGGAGACGTTCTGAACAGGAGCATAAAATGCAAATTGGCTTTTTCCAATTAAAGAAATTAAGTTTGGCCCCGGACAAGAACTGTGGTCAGTTCCAGTGGTAGGAATGCCCACAAAATGTAAAACAAGCAGCAACTTAACAACCTAAAAACAGAAGAGAAAAAAAAAAGTCCAGGTGATTATAACACTGTAAGGAGCAAAAGAAGAACCTGGCACAGATGTAAGAAACAAACTACAAAGTAAAGCATATAAAACAAGAAACAGTCCAGCAATTATCTCACTGATGTAATTTAACACCTAGAAAACAAAGAAGGCTATAATCTCCATTTGACTAGGAAACATCATCTCCTTCTCTGCTAATGATCTTCTAGCCTCTATTATTCATATCCTTCCTTCCACTCTGATGGACATTACAGTTAATTACCTGAAAACAAGGAGGTTAGGTTGACTAGGGATTTCCAATTAGTTTACTCTTGCCTAAGAAACATCAACTGGTTTAGAAGCCTGCATATGGAATGCCCTTCTAAAACATACCAGACTTGGAAAACTTCTGTCTTCCCACAGGATTTAGAAATTGAATTGAGGATTTTAGTTCCCCTCTTCAAGACATTTCATGGCCASCCTGAATATTTATCTCCTGAGCCCCATTCACCTCCAGTACAAGGATGTCACTTGTTTGCAAGGGGAATGCAAAGTTGTCATATTTCATTTCAGAAATAAAAATCAAGTCCCTTTGCTTCACTGATTTCTATTTTAGATACAAATCACACTTTTCTTCTTGTTTGTTTTTTCTAGGYTAAAAGTATTTTTTAAACTAGTTTCTTAAAAATTAATTTTATTAGAGAAATTTTTATTTTGCTATTTGGAGAAGCATTTTGGAAATTTTATAATTACTTCTATTAAATCACGGAGCCTACAAACATTAATGTTTGATTCATGTCAAGGATCAATTATGAACTGTAAATCTAAGTAGTGTTCCAGATTTAAAATGAAGTTATTTGGTTTACTCACCCTCAATTCGCATCAAACTAAAGAAAGCAGGAAGTGTATTATTTACTATTGTAAAACAAAGCTAATCTCTTTGTAACTTGAGGATTTATTTGCAATTTTGAAAGACAATACAGAGCATTCATTAGGTTTTTTCTGTTTAAAACCTCCGAAACAGAGTTGGACTGCCTTGCTAAAGGGATATTCTAGGAAAGGGTTCACATGAAACTACACTTTACAGTACAGAATAATCAGTGCAGTTTTTCCTCACTGAAGAAAACACTAAAAAACAAGCTAAGCTGTTCYATACTGTGTTATTGTAACTTGAAAGTCAGAAAGCTTTCCTTTAAACTTACCTACCACGATTGTACCATAATTAGAAAAACAGTCATTTTCTTATTCTTCATTAAAACACCATTTTTTAATGAATAGGAAAAAAAAAGCTTACATATCTTTCCATGTTTTCCTAGCTCAAGTATACTGCTCATATACTGACAAGCTTTTAGTTCAGCTTCTTAACTGCTGATGTTACACTCCATTTTCTATTTCCAGTAAAGTACTGGAATACAAAAATAGTTACTACACTGAACCAATCTACAACAGGCTGTAAGAGAAATTAAATTAAAATGAAAAATGAAGAAATTTAAAATCAGTTTTAATTAAGTGAGAATTCTTAAGGTACAAAATGTTTTCCATGTAAAATTTTCTAGGAAGTACAGCCTAACAAGTTAATTAGCTCTGAAAGCTAAAGAAATTAAACAGAAAAATGCAGAACTCTTTCTTCTATACCTTATAATTTCTCCAGAAAGGAAGACAAAGGCAAATCTTCCCGTTTTAAACTGGTACACATTATTTTCTCAGTTCAACCATGAAAACTCAAGAGATAAGGACTGTGGGTGTACAACTTCTGTGATAGCATTTGTCTGCAAAGGCTTAGGTTGGATACTAGGGAAAGATTCTTCACCCAGAGGATGGTTTGGCACTGAAATAGGCATTTAAGAAATGTTTGGACAACATGCATATGGTGTGAGTCTTGGGGCTGTCCTCCTGGTAGGGCCAGGAGCTGTATCTATTGATCCTTGGGGGTCCCTTCCAACTCAGAATATTCTGTGATTATACCTATAATTTCTTTATTTTGCTATTAATTTTGCTRTTAATGCTATTTATTGCTTTAATAGATACCTATTTAAGTATCTTTATCTTATCCCATGAGTTTTCTCACTTYAACCCTTCAGATCATCTTCACCCATCCATCCCAAGGGGGAAACTGAGCAAGCAGCTGTRCAGGGCTCAACTTCCACCAGGGTTAAACCACAACAACCAAACTTACTCTCTGAAATTAACATATATATAAAACCATATATAAAACTCTGTAATCCTTACCAATACCCTTGAAAGTACATTAATCACTAGAATTAAATAAAACCTTTCTTTCAAAAATGTAGTGTCTTCTTTCTTTCAAAACATAACTAAAGCCCATCATTARGTTACCAGCAGTTACCTGACAGTCAGATGTTGAAGCTAACAGGTTCAGATCCTATGATGAGGCAACTAAAATAGCCATTACCAGCACTGTCCCATCCTTGACAACTAGCTTTGGTTTTAACAAGACAGCGTGCTCTATTAAGTTTTAAATAATTTAATAGAGAAATTGTTATATGTATTCTTAAGCATCGTAATTGGCTGTCAGCGCCCCTAATATCAGACTTAGTCTAAGACCCCCCTCAGGCCAACTTTTAGACAGAGGGCAGTGGAGATAAAATTTTACTTCAGAAAAATGCAGAAATAAATGAAGTACGCATAATACACAAAAGTGCAACTACTACGTTGCCATGAATGTAGTTAACTGCTGGGAGTTGAATTATCTGACTGCACACCCAAGCTTTTCCCCTGCATTCTGAAATTACAGATTTGCTACGAAAATATTAAGTCCAATATGTGTAGATCAGGTTTACAATCACAAATCACTCTGCCAGGACTGGTATTTCTGAGATATATTTAAGAACAAAAAACCATCAAAGATTCACGCTTACAAGGAAAAGCCTGGTTTTTGCTTTCAGATGTCCATTAAACACAAGTAACATACTAAATTCATTTTAATTACACTTCCTGATTTTGAGCAGGAGCTGTKTACTTTTTGGTTTGATTGTGGGCATTTTGTTGTGTGGATTTTGCTGGGTTTTTTTAAGTTTGTTTGTTGTTTTGGACCAGGGTCAATCAAGAGCAAAGAAATAGCATACCAACTTCAGCAGCAATAGCATCATGGAACTAAACCAAAAATAAATCTCATGTGGCAGTTTCTATAATTACCACTCATTTTTATTACACGCCAATCTTTCAAGTCATGCAGTAAACAAAAACATACAAACTGTGTTCAGTTACAAGTCCTAAACACTTCTAAAAAAATCTGGTCTTCAAGTATAATTGTGGACCTAATTGTACTGCAGTCTGGCCTGCTATTTTTCCTGTGTGACGGCACAAAGCTCAAACAAAACCGCCAGAAACTAAAGCCATGTACTTGATCAAKCTATTTAAAGTGTAGGTTATGCTTAATTCTGTTGGTTTATCAGGTAAAGAGAAATACAATTATGCTCCTTAAAAAATAAGCTTAGTTTTTTTCTTCCATAAAGGATACAGTGTAAAAGAGCRGAATTTGTAAAATATTATTGATATGAAACATTATTAAATCTTATCTGTATTGGAGAAGCATTGCAAATAATGATATTGCCATGTACAATCAATAGTATGCACATGCATTGTACTTCCTAATATTTCAAGATACATAATAAGCTAAATTACAGGGGAAAAACACCTTCAATGGGATTAATTTCCTGATCCAAATCCCTAACAACAAAAACTAAGGTCAGCACAAAAGAAACAGTAGAAACATACAACTGAGTGGGGGAAAAGTGAAAGWGGGGAAAATCACCACTTTTACCAGTACTGGGCACTTATGATCCTTCCGCCCAAAAGGCTATGTTCAAGTCTTGAAGACAGATGATTATTTATTTTTTTTTTTAAATTTAAAGACAGCATATAATATTTAGGCTGTTGCTACTAACAGTATCATGCCTTAATTTAATCTCTTATATAATTGTAGAAGGATTAAACTATAAACCAAGAGGATTTCAGAATAAAGATCTTGCGAAAACTTGCACACAGTGAGCTAAAAAATTTGAAGGCAGTCAGCCAATGCSACCGTTTCAAGACTTAAGAATAGTTTCACTCCACAGGCTTATATTCTCAAAACAGACTTCACAGAGAATCTGTACCTCAAAGTACACTTTAAAGACTGCRTATAATTGTGGAAGACAGCAGACAATCTTGCATACATGGAGAACCAAAACCCATACCTTACAGGGTGTCTCTAAAGAAATACCCATGGGTGTTAACTACAGCCAGAACATTAAAAAAAAAAAAAATCCCACCAAACAAACAATCACAACCACCAAGTTAATTTTAATGTCTCACCAATTTGTTATAATAGCTATTCTTCACTTCTTGGTAAGAGGTCATATTACCTAGCACTACATTCAGTCATCTAAACATAGGCATCTGTTGCCACTTGAGATAAATGTCCTAGGGCAGCCTGCCTGGTCTCAGACTGACATCCAGAAGGACACAGTTTCTCCTGCGTCCTGTACTAAATCTGCCAGGTCCATGTAGATGTCCAGGACAGACTCAGCACATCTGAAAAAGCACTAGTTACCAATGTTTAAGCAAGTCAACTAGAGCTCAGAAGTCTTCAACAACGACAGTGGGGGCAAAACAGGGAGGCAGACCCTCTTAATCAAGACCTGGGGTTTCTGTACACCAAGAATATTTCTTTAATGTTARCAAAATTCTCAACAACCAAAGTTTTCTGCATTCCTACATGAGAGTATCCATACCA